AGCTCAGGGACAAGCATGTAGGTCCTGAATTCAAGCCCCAGAACTGACACACACAAAATAAGTAAAAGGTGTGTGTGTGTGTGTTTTGTCCATCGTGGGGCTTGAACTCTGGGCCTGGGCGCTGTCCCCCAGCTCTTCAGCTCAAGGCTAGCACTCTATCGCTAGAGCCACATTGCCTCTTCGGGTTTTCTGGTGGTTAATTGGAGATAAGAATTTCTTGGAAAGCCAGATGCTGGTGGCTCAAGCCTATAATCCTTAAGCTACTCAGGAGATCTGAGGATCATCGTTCAAAGCCAGCCCAGGAAGGAAAGTCTGCAACTTTTATCTCCAATTAACCACCAGAAAACTCGAAGTGGTGCTATGGCTCAAGTGGTAGAACAGTAGCCTTGAGCTTAAGAGCTCAGGGACAGTGCTTAGGCCCTGAGTTCAAGCCCCAGGACTAACAACCAAAAAAAAAAAAAAAGAGTCTCACAGATTTTCCTGCCCAGGCTGGCTTTGAACCGTGATCCTCAGATCTCAGCCTCCTGAGTAGCTAGGATGACAGGTGTGAGCCACTGAAGCCGGGCTAAGTATTCTTGACAAGAAAGGTCAGGAAATTTCTTCTGCTGTGTGCACATGGCTCCAAGGAGCCTGTCTTCCTCTCTTGGAATATCTGGGCCATCACCATAGATTCAGGCTCAGACACTGCAAACAATCCTGTAGACTGGTCATCTGTGGACTGTGACGAGCGTGGAGTGGGGGACTCTATTGTGGATAGGGGTTCCCAATCTCCCCAACTGGGTTTCCCTGGTTTTCCTTTCCTCCTCTTGGGTGAACCTGTGAGAATCAAGTGGGAGTCAGCTGCCCCTACTGGATTCTCCAGGCAGTGGCCATGTTCCCCAAAGGCCATTGTTGGAGGAGCCTTGGGAAGGCAGACCTTGATTCTCACCAGAGGGACAGTTTCAGAACCATGTTGCAGTCAAACATGCGGCCAGGGATGGTGGTGCCTGCCTGTAATCCCACACTGGGGAGGTCAAAGCAAGAGGATCTCAAGTTCAAGTCCAGCCAGAGTGGGAGGCTGGGGGCATGGCTCGAGTAGAATGAGCGTGTGTGCTGACCACCCTTTCAGACTCATCACCCTTCTGTTCCTCCTCCCGCTGAGCAGCTGCCGCCCCGCCCCCCACCCAATTAGAAGACCAGCTGTAGAGGAAGGGAGTCAGCAACTTCTGTGATGGGTCATCATTTGGCCATTGTCCCTTCCTATGGATCTTTCTTTTTTTTGACTCCTGATTGTGACTTCTTTTTTTTTGTCGGTCGTGGGGCTTGAACTCTGGGTCTTGGCGCTGTCCCTCAGCTCCTCAGCTCAAGGCGAGCGCTCTACCACTTGAGCTACAGCGCCACTTCCGGTTTTCTGGTGGTTTATTGTAGATAGGAGTCTCAAGGTCTCTCCTGCCAGGGCTGGCTTTGAACCGCGATCCTCAGATCTCAGCCTCCTGAGTAGCTAGGATTACAGGCGTGAGCCACCAGCGCCCGGCTTTGATTGTGACTTCTTTCAGCCAGGGCTGTCATTAGCTTGATGTATAATCAACATGGTACCAGGAGTCCTCTTCTGAGCCATCACTAAACAGGTTCAATAGGAGAAGACAGGGCAGAGGGAAGCCATCTCCCTGCAGATGTTTTAATTGACTTTGATCAGAATTCTAAATCCCAGCAGGCACTGGTGCCTCACGCCTATCATCATGGCTGCTCAGGAGGCTGAGATCTGAGGATCAAGGTTTGAAGCCTGCCAGGGCAGACAAATCTGAGAGACTCTTCAATTAAACACAGCAAAAGCTAGAAATGGAGGCCCGGTTCAAGGAGTAGGGCACCAGCCTTGAATGAAAAAGCTAAGATGCTGAGGTTTAAGCCCCACCAGCAGATACATAAACATGTTAAGAAATGTTAAAAACAAACCTCTAAATTGTAGGCTTTGGACTTAAAAGTAGCAGCTACTGGGACTCAATTTCCAGGAAGGAAAGCTTCACAGATCTCTCCTTGAATCTCTACCTCTACCCAGGATTAAAGGGATTCAGGACTGAGAACTTGAAGAGACCTGGGGCTAGGACTAACAGTTCAGTTTCAACTTCATGGTACATAAAGCAGCTGGAGGTTTAACACTGGTCCAATCGCCAATCTGAACACAAACTTCTGGATCAGAACCTGATGATATGCTGGAAACTGTCCGTGCGTCCAATCCACATCACGGTTTGTATCTAGCGTTCATTTCTCGGATCCCTAGATAACCAACTCCTTTTATTTTCTTCTCCCACTAAGTCGTTCCTGGCAGCATAAAATCCCCATGAACTTCTGATAAACCAATTAGGGCTTCCTCCTGTTTTAGCCATGTTTATTTAGTTTCAGATAGAAAGCCTAGAAGGTAGGGTGAGGACAAAATAATTTTCTGGCATTGGTATTATTATTATTGTCATTCTTGCTGCTCTGATATAGCAAGAGTAGCCAAAGTCTCTTGGCTCATACCTGTAATCCCAGCTACTCACAGGGCTGAGATCTGAAGATCCCAGTTCAAAGCCAGCCCACGCAGGAAAGTCCATGAGACTCTTCTCTCCAATTAACTACCAAAAAGCTGGAAATGGCACTGTGGCTCAAGTGATAGAACACTAGTCTTGAGCACAAAAGCTTAAGGACAACACCCAGGCCCTGAGTTCAAGACCCAGAACTGGCACACACACAGAAAAAGGTTCTATAATGAAAAAGTACACACTTTACTGACAGGAAGACAAGACCAAAAGACCTGAAGAGATATACCATGTTCATGGATGAAAATACAAATATTGTTAAGATGCCAGTTCTTCCAAAATGGACAAGGAAAGAAGGAAGGGAGAAAGGGAGGAAGGAAGGAAGGGAGGGAGGGAGAAGAGAGGGAGGGAGGAGGAAAAAAGAGAAATTACAATGAATCAGCCACTCCAAGGTGGTATTCTTGACCTACACCTCCACTTCTGGCTTTTCACTGGTTAATTGAGATATATATATAAAAAAAATCTCTGCCTGGTCTGGTGCCCAGTGGTGATCCTCAGCTCTCAGCCTCGGGAGGAGCTAGGGTTACCGGTGGGAGCCTGCGTTACTCTGGAAGAGCACAGTTCTCAAACCGCCACTGAACCGGGGCTGGTGGGTCACAACCGGGAGTTGCAGTCCTTGGAAGCCAGTACTTTGGTGGGTTTTGTCCTGAGGTATTAGAGTCTGGTTCCCATGGTCCTTAGCTGAAATAAATGTGTCTTCCTTGATCCCCTCCAAGTCCTAGAGGCTGGCATTTCACAAACAATATGGCGCCCTCCAATCCCAGCACGGTGACCTCCAGCCTTGCGATCACAGTCCTCGTCTAGACGAGTGTCCAGTGTCCAGGGACCACTGCTCCTCACTGGCAGCAGGAGGGAGAAAGAATATGGAAGCTGGGGGATTTAGGGGGGCTGGTGTGAAGGGGGCAGCTCAGTCTCCCCCTGGGAAGACCAGGGAAGTTTCTAGAGGAGTCAGTCAATGCCTCAAAAAGTTAGGAAGCGTGTAGCAATCCATCTACAAGAAAGAGAGGCAGGGGAATGGCTCTGAGAAAGGCCCAGACACATGACGCATTCTGGGAACTACTGTTGCAAAGCCGAATTTGGAAATCCTTATCCAAAAGACCACCAGAGACCGACACCAATGTAAAAGCAAAGGAGTCTTGATTGCAAGCTCGAGCTTGGTTCCCCGCATGCATGCAGCAGCCATGACGCTGAGAGGCCCCGAGCCCATGGTCACAGCACTTTTTATACACTTTTTTTAGGGAAGACAGGGGCTTTGCATACATAACTTCTTGTAACAAATCACTACCATGGGAAAAGCATAAAACAACTGTATATGATTGGCACACTACAAAGCGGGAAAGGACCAGAAACAAGTTGTTGGTTAGATCAAGGGGGCTGACGTACCTGGTTTATGTAATGGTCACCAGACCCTAGGAGGAGCTGTTCTGGAATTTCAGATCTCGTAATTCCAGGCATTGGGGCTGAAGTGGGTCAAGGGTTAAGTTGCAGAACTGAGATGGGCGTCTTAAGTGAAATGGAGTTGTTTAGGTTCCACTGTCTTCTAACGAAGTGTAGGACACAGAAGGAAGTGGTTCGAGTCCCAGCTAGAAAGGTAAGCTTAGGGCCCTGGTGATGAATGTTTTGTAGAGGGCTAGGGGGAATCGATGGCAGGGTTTCCAAGAGAAACGAAAGAACCCACATTTATACTTTAGCAGTGGGGAGTGGTGCTACACATCTGTAATCCCAGCAGAGCAGCCCTTATTTATTTATTTATTTAATTTATCATAAGTCATGCGTTTGAACTCTGGGCCTGGGCGCTGTCTCTCAGCTCTTTAGCTCAAGGTGAGCACTCTACCACTTGAGCCACAGAGCCACTTCCGGTTTGGTTTTCTGGTGGATCATTGGAGATAAGAATCTCAGGGACGTTCCTGCCCAAGCTGGCTGCCCAAGCTGGCTTTGAATTGTGATCCTCAGATCTCAGCCTCCGGAGTAGCTAGGATGACAGGCGTGCGCCACCAGCGCCCAGCAGCGGCCTTTATTTCATTGCATTCCAAGGTCAGAATCCCCCTGGGGGGTTCTTGGGACACATCTTGCAATTCTTCCTAAAGCCAGCTGGGGTCAGGCAAAGGCCCAGATTTATGTGGTGAGAACCGAGTCCCTTTGGGCAGGGGGTGGGGAAGGGGGGGAGGGGAGGCGGGGATATCTTAGGAAAATGGACCTTTCTGGGTGTCTATTGGGAAACATGTTTTGCATAGAAGCTGGTGAGGGGAGAAAAAAATGCACCCTTGTCTGGAGAAGGGGACCCCAAACCCAGGTGAAGCAGAAAAGAGGCTCAAGAACGTGGAGGCAGGCAACTGTCACCTCCCCTCCCAACTGGCAGCCACCCCCAAAGTGACTGCATTCAGTGATCCCTCAGGAAGTCCAGTCATTTCCTGAGGAGATATCAGATCAGCCCAGGCCTCATTGTTCTCTGAGTTTCCAGAAATGGCCGCCATTACCTGACCAGCTCTCCAGAGCCAGTCTCTGCGGCAGCCTCTGCAGGAGTTACCAGAGCGGCCAGTGTTGTTCCCCGAGCAGGTTTCTCATCTGTGGGAAGTGTCCCCTGTCCCCAACGCATGGCCCAGAGGCAGAACTGACTGTGTCCTTCAGGCTTCGCTGGGAGGAGGCGGCTGGGCTCGGACCAGGGCACAAGATGTGGCTTCTCGTCCTGCTGGCGTTGCTGCGCTGTGAGTGCCTCCTCTTCCCGGCTCACTGTCCCTTCCTGAGAACCGAAGTGTGTGAAATCAACAGATTCCTTCTGTCTCTTCCAGGTCCCGGCTTCCAGGGGAGAGAAAACTGTAAGTGAACCACACACTTCTGTCTGCTCTCCACCACGTCCTCTCGGTCATTCTCTACTCATATCAAATGGTTTGGGGGTTGAGTTTGAACAACTGAGGACAATTATTCCAGAAGGTCTTAGACCAAAACTTTCGTTGTGAACCAACTTTCTTTTTTCAATCAGTGCATTTTAGGAGCATGTGTTTTCCGATGTCCATTTTCTAATTTGGTGGATTGTGGTTTGTTAGAATTGGGGAGGTGGTTTAAAAAAAAAAAAAGTGGTTCTATCATTTGCTTGAGGTTGTGCTAAGATAAATTGCTGGTTTTCTCGCCCTGCTCTTTCCCCAATTGCTTGTTTTTATTTCTGTTTCTGATATTCCTCTTTCTTGGGTTTGGTGGTTGTGGTGGTGGTTACTCTTTTTCTGTTTGGTGGTCTTGGTCTGGTTGTCCTTGAGCTCTTTTGCTCAAGGCTAGTGCTGTACCACTTAGAACCAGGCTCTACTTCTGATTTTCTGGTGGTTAACTGGAGATAAGAGTCTCAAACTTTGATCTTCAAATCTCAGCTTCCTGAATAGCTAGAATTCTAGACACGAGCCACTGACAACCTGGCCTCTCTTACTTGTTTTAATTCACAATTAAGATACGGTCAACTTATTAGCCTGGGAAAGACAGAACAAAGTTTAAATTGGTATCTCAACTTTTCTTTTTCTCTTAAATGATTTAAAAAAAATTGTGGATCTAGTTTTCCATCCACCTATGAGGCTGTAATGATATCTACAATATTTTGGGCGGGCACACTGGGAACAGAGCTGCTACGTGCGTGTGCATGCATGTATGTGCACGTGTGTGCAGGCTCTTGCACACGTGTGCCGGTATTGTGGCTTGAACTCAGAGTCAGATAGCTTCCCTTTAGCTTTTCTACACAAAGCTAATGCTTGTTTGCTTGTTTGTTTTTTTGTCGGTCATGGGGCTTGAACTCTGGGCTTGGGCGCTGTCCCTGCGCTCTTCAGCTCAAGGCGAGCGCTCTACCACTTGAGCCACAGTGCTACTTCTGGCTTTCTAGTGGTTTATTGGAGATAAGAGTCGCATGGACTTTCCTGCCCTGGCTGGCTTTGAACCGCGATCCTCAGAGCTCAGCCTCCTGAGCAGCTACGATTACAGGTGTGAGACACCCCCCCCCCCCCGCCGCGCCCAGCTCAAAGCTAATGCTTTACCACTTGAGCCACACTTCCACTTGGCTTTTTGCTGCTTCACTGGAGATACAAATTACACAGACTTATCTGCTGGAGCTGGCATTGAACTGCCATCCTCACCTCTCAGCCTCCTGAGTAGAGATTACAGGCGTGAGCCACCCAACTGTCTGCGGTCTGGTTACATGCTATTTACAGGCTGATCTAGGAGCTCCATCTTGACATGGGGGGGGGGGAGTCCCTGGGTGAGGGAGCTTAGCTGGGTCTGGGGCTGTGAACTGGGTGGAGCACCTGCAGAATTCAATCCCTCTTCAGAATCGGGCAGCTGGACACGTTGTCCAGCTCTCTGGAGGCTGATAGCTGCCCGGTGCCGGCTGAGTGGAGTCCTATGGCGGTGGCCCCAGTGGGGAAGAGCTGGTGTGGCTACTCAAGTCGCCGGTGGGTGGGGGTCCCCAGGCCCACGCGCCCTGCTTCCTTGGCCATTCTGACCCCCAGACAAGATAGCCATCATCTTCAAATCACCTGTTTGATGGTGTCACCCGAGCCCCAAGGAAGATGGGCTTGCCCATGCCACTGCCGGCCAGGGGAGCAGGACTTCCGCGACCCCAAATCTGCACTTGGGTCTGGACACCGCCCAGATGTTGTTTCTCTCATTAACCCAGGCTAGCCCCAGCTCAGGATCCTCCCTCCTCAGCCTTTCTAGGAGATGGGATTACAGGCGTGTGCTACCAAGCCTGAGACGCATCTTTACCTGGTTTTGTTCCAGCTGTAAAATGTGGATTGGCGGTGGGGGTGGGGGTGGAGGCTGAGCTGTTCTTCGGACAGTGGGTAGTGAATGATGATGATATTGCCCACCCCTTCCTGCCCACCCTTCCAGCCGTGGCCCCTGAAATATTCTGTCTACTCCAGCCTGCACCCCATCTTTTTTTTGTTGTTGTTGTTGGTCATGGGGCTTGAACTCTGGGCCTGGGCGCTGTCCCTCAGCTCTTCAGCTCAAGGTGAGTGAGGCTGAGGCCCCTTCCTCTCCCAGGCCTTCGGGGATCCCGCTAGCTCTTGCCCAAAGGCCATGCACCTCCCTTCAGGAGATGACTTCCGTTTCATCTGCACCTAGAAAACAGGCGTCTGGAGGGAACTCCCTGGACTTCCTGCTGGGCGCGGGCCGGGCCTGGGCTGCTGGCTTATCTGGCTCCCCACCCATCCTCTCGGCTTCCCTCCAGGCTTCAGCGCAGTGTCCACCCTGGTGGCTGATTAGCGCCTGCCCCAGTACCAGGGCCTTGGCCCATCCCTCCCTCCCTCCCTCCCTCCCTCCCTCCTTCCTTCCCTCCCTCCGGTGTCACTCCACTAGCAGCATCTGGACCTCTGCCTGGACCCATAGCCCCGCCCTGGCCTCTCACTCTAGTCTAAAGCCCAGTGAATAACTTGTTTTTTGGTTTTTTTTTTTTCTGGTCCTGGGACTTGAACTCAGAGCCTGGGTGCTGCCTCTGTGGTTCTTTGTGCTCAAGGCTAGCGCTCTCCCACGTAAGCCACAGCTCCGTTTCTGGAGTTTTCTGAGTCATTTATTGGACATTAGGAAAAAAAAAAAAATCTCATGGACTTTCCCACCTAGGCTGGTTTTGAACCATGATCCTCAGATCTCAGCCTCCTGAGTAGCTAGAATTAGAGGCGGGAGCCACTGGCACCTAGCTGGTAACTTCTTATTTGTTTGTTTGTTTCAGGAAAAAGAAAAAGTCACATACAAACAACCCATTCCCTCCAATTTTTCTTTTCTTTCTTGTTTTTCATTGTCGGTCGTGAGGCTTGAACTCTGGGCCTGGGCGCTGTCCCTCAGCTCTTCAGCTCAAGGCTAGTGCTCTATCATTGAGCCACAGCGTCATTTCCGGTTTTCTGGGGGTTCAATGGAGATAAGAGTCTTACAGACTTTCCTGCCTGGGCTGGCTTTGAGCTGCGATCCTTAGATCTCAGCCTCCTGAGAAGCTGGGATGACAGGCGTGAGCTGCTGGTGTCCGGCAACAATTGAAATCTTTTACTACATTTGCCCTCTTCCCCAGGGCAGATTGGCTTTCCTGGGTTTGAACCTGGCTCTGCAGGCTCCGGCCTCTGATTGTCTCTGGGTTCCAACTCTTCTCTCCCTCCTGATTGTCCTGGTGCTCTGAGTCCAGCTCCGGCCTCACAGCCAAACCTCAGACACAACCCCAGGCCCAAAGCCGTCTTCCCTCTTGTCCTCAGGGCTCCTCCCTCAGCCTGGCCCAGGCCCCGAAACTCCGTCTTCCTCCCTCGTCTTTCTCTGGCGTTCTCCGTTGCAGCTCACGGCACTGGCTGCTTCCTGAGAACCACTCAAGAATCTTCTGTTCCACTTCTTCAACCTCAGAGCCAGTCAAGTTCTTGCTTTTTTTAAATTGTGGTGAAATCCAAATAATACAAAGCGTAGCTGGGCACCAGTGGCTCACACCTGTAATCCCAGCTACTCAGGAGGCTGAGATCTGATCTGAGAATCGCATTTCAAAGGCAGCCCAGGCAGGAAAGTCTGTGATGCTCTTACCTCCAACGAACCCCCAGAAAACTGGAAGTGGAGCTGTGGCTCAAAGCCTTGAGCAAAAAGAGCTCAGGGTTAGAATCCAGGCTCCACGTTCAAGCTCTAGGACACCCCCCCCAAAAAAAAACAAAGCATATAATAAATGCAGTAAACCATCTGCATCATCTAAGTGTAGAATGTTGCCTTTGACCCCAAAACAAATCCTTTTGAGTTCCCTGGCCCTCCTGCCTGAGCACATCCGTTTTTCACCTGAACCCCTCTACCCTGGGTCTGTTCCCTGGCCTTGATCTTGTGTCACAGCGGCCTTTTGTCCTGGGGCTTGAACTCAGGGCCTGGGCGCTGTCCCTGGGCTTCACCCCTCCCCCAAGCCAGCACTCTGCCACTTGAACCACGGCTCCACTTCCAGCCTTTTGGTGGTTCATTGGCGATCAGCGTCTCATGACCTTTCTTGTCCAGGCTGGTTTTGAACCATGATCCTCAGATCTCAACCTCCTGAGTAGTTAGGATTACAGGAGTGTGCTACTGGTGCCTGGTCGCAGTGGTCTTTCTAAACACTGACTAGTATCTTGGATATCTTGCCCCCTCCCAAAGACCCACGTGACCCAGCTTGCCCACGTGGCAGGCCTGACTTTCCCCTTTGGCACTATTCCCCCAGCCTGCCTCCTCCCCAGCCGCACGCTCTGCCTCTCGGGAACTGTTTGTACCTGAACTGTATCAAGTCCTCATGCCCCAGTGCCTTGGAACATGCTGTTCTCCATCTGGGGGACATTTCCTTCCCACTGTCCTGGGTCTCTCGTGGGCAACACTTGTCTTCAGGGTCTCTGACTTGGTTGATCGATAGCAATCTGGATCTCCACTGGCCCAGGGGGTCTTGGACAGCAGGGGTGATTTCCATTTCCCCGGGAAGTACAGCACCTGGCCTGGCTGTCTTGGGAATGAGAACGTGAGCAGAACAGGGGTTGGCATGTTTGTTAAACACAGAAAGAAATGCATCAGGGACTCCATGCTTTGTGGGACCCTGTCATTTTCCTGACAATAGTAGATGGCCCCTCCTTGTCTTCCCCTCCTCTCCCCCCCTTCTTCTTCTTTCTGAGTCATTTCTGGGTTGAGAGCCAGGTGGCCAGCTGAGTCACACGCCTGCTCTCCCCAGGGACCTGCGGGCTGATGGTCCCGAGATGGAGGGAGCTAGATCCCCTGGTTTTAGATTTTGGATATCCCCTTTTGACTTTGATTCCTTCTCCACTAATCTTTTTCTTTCCCGCTTGACAAGCTGGGGATTGGCCTAGTGGTAGATTGCTTGCCTAGTATGCATGAAGCCCGGGCTTCGAGTCCTCAGCACCACATAGGCAGAAAAAGCCAGAAGTGGCGCTGTGGCCCAAGCGCTAGAGCATTAGCCTTGAGCCAAAGAAGCTCAGGGACAGCGCCCAGACCCTGAGTTCAAGCCCCAGGACTGGCAAAAAAAAAAAAAAATCTCACCTCTCTGGGTTTTCTGAATCCTGTCCTTTAGCACAAGTCTGGAATCTTTTAGTGCTCTGTCAGTAATGCTGGGGACCTCATTCCAGAAAGAAAAGAAAAACAAAACGCGTGCACATAATTGGAGGCAGCTTAAAGGACCCCACCACTCACCGGTGTCACCTTGGCTTGGTGCTCCTTCAAGATAAAAGCACCAGGGAGGGAGCCGGGCGCTGGTGGCTCACGCCTCTAACCCCAGCTACTCAGGAGGCTGAGATCTGAGGATCTCAGTTGAAAGCCAACCTGAGTAGGAGACTCTTATTTCCAATTACCTACCAACACCACCAGAGGTGTGGCTCTACTGGTAGATTGCTAGACTTGGGCAGAAAACATTAAAGGACAGTGCCCTAGGCCCTGAGTTCAAGCCGAAGGACTGGCACCCACCCACAAAAGAAAAGTACCAGGGAGGGGACTGAAGATATACTCAGATGGTAGAGTGCCAACCTTGAGCCAGAAAAGCCAAAAAAGAGCACAAAGCCCTGAGTTCAAGCTCCAGTATGGACACACACATTGACGGTCACCAGGATGATGCTGTTGCTAAGGTAACAGGTATGTCTGCCCTCCTTCCGTTTGCATGTAGCATTCACCATCAACAGTGTCCACATGAACAGCCTGCCCAACTGGACGGTGCGTAACGGGCAGAACGTGACCCTGCAGTGCGTGGTGGACATTAGTACCACCGCGGCCGTCAGACCCCAGCACTCGGTGCTCTTCTACAAGGAAGACGTGATGCTGCACAACGTCTCCTCTTCCCAGACCACCGAGAGTTTCTTCATCCCCAGAGCGCGAGTCCATAACGCAGGGACGTACAAGTGCACCGTGCTTCTGAATAACAAGGAGAAAACCACGCAGGAGTACCGGCTGGTGGTAGAAGGTGAGTGGAAATGAGTCTAGAGACTTTCCTGCCCAGCCTGCTTTGAACTGCAATCCTCAGATCTCAGTTTCTTGAGTAGCTAGGATCACAGGTGTGAGCCACCGACGCCCAACTGCAATAGGATTTTTTTTTTTTTTTTTTTTGGGTCCAGTCGTCTGGCCTGAACTCTGGGCCTCAGTTCTTCAGCTCAAGGCTAGCGCTCTACCACTTGAGCCACAGCGCCACTTCTGGCTTTTTTCATTTCACTTCTGTGGTGCTGAGGAATTGAACCCAGGGCCTCATGCATGCAAGGCATACGCTCTACCACGGAACCACCTTCCCAGCCCCTGCAATAGGATTTTCTTTGCAGAAAAGCCACATAGCAAAAGTTGCTAAGTCACTGGATTCTTCTGTCTCTCTATCTGGGTTCCTTAGTCTTTTAACCATTCTAACCTTCAGAATCTTCACTAGTAGATAATTATAACAAGGCACCCAGCTCTGGGAGTTACAGAGAGAGTTAAAAGGTGTCACACTATGTGTTATACAACAATTATGATCATGCAGCGATGGATGTCGCTTCAATCAACGTTATCCGTGTCCGAGATGGTCCTGTAATACTGTATCATCTAGTATGGCAGTGCCACTGTAGTTTTGGATAAAAACATTGTATTCACACAACAAAGTCTCTTAGCAGGACTGGGAAGGTGGCTTAATGGTAGAGTGCTTGCCTAGCATTCATGAAGCCCTGGGTTTGATTCCTCAGTACCACATACACAGGAAAAACTGGAAATGGTGCTGTGGCTCAAGTGGTAGAGTGCTAGACTTGAGCAAAAGAAGCAGCTCAGGGACAGTGCCCAGGCCCTGAGTTCAAGCTCAGGACTGCCCTCCTCCCCCATAAATAAAGTCACTTAGCAGAACATGTCCTGTCATTAAGAACGCATGAGTGTACTCTCACATCTGCGCTCTTCCACACTGTGAAAGTTACATCCTGAGCAAAGAAACTGGCTCTGAGTACACAGTAGATGTCCATGGACTAAGTTAAAGCCAACTCAGACCTGTGGTTGCTGTTCTATAAATGACAATAACCGTAAATTCACTAAGTCCTGGATGTTGTTGGGGTTTTTCTTTTCTTTTTATTATTATTTTATTGTGAAAATACTGTACAGAGGGGTTACAATTACATGGACAAGATAATGAGTACATTTCTTATCAAGCATTGTTGCCTCCTCCTTTGTTTCCCCTTCCCATCCCTTCCCATCTCCCCCGCGCCCCCCCTTCCCCCTTCCTACCCAACCCCCACCCCAGACAAAGTTTGTTTTTTGACATAACGTCTTGTACATCTCATTGTTGCAATGGGTCCACCTGTATCCCTATCTAAGCAATTTGTTTTCTCCCTTCCCCGCCACAAATTATTCCCACATCAAATATCGTGAAAACAGGGGTTATACTGTGGGGGACGTTTTTATTTTCTTTAAACTGGATCAGTTGAGGATCTGACCATACCAGGGGTTATAAACTGGAAAATACCTACCATGCCTTGAATATATTTTATATTATATATGTGTGTGTATGTATATATATATATGTATATACATATACATAAATATATATATATTTGTGCCAGTGCTGGAGTTTGAACTCAGGGCCTTGCATCCTCACGTAGCTTTTTCATTCAAGGCTAGCACTCTACCGCCTGAGCTATACCTCTATTTCTGGCTTTTTTTTTTCCCCCTGACTAATTGGAAATAAAGAGTCTCCAGGACTTTCCTGTCTGGGCTGGCTTCCAACTAGGATCCTCAGATCTCAGCCTCCTGAGTGGCTAGGATTACAGGTGTGGCTTATTTCATACAGGTCAGTGACTACCTGAGAGGAAGAAAGAATCCTCAAAGGGTCAGCGACAACCATGGCTGTGCCACTAGCTCCACCTGCTACTCACTGGTCCTTCTCTTCCTCCCAAGGCGTGTCCAGTCCCCAGGTGATCCTGGATAAAAAGGAGGTGATCGAAGGCGGGGTGGTGGCCGTCGGCTGTTCTGTCCCAGAGGAAAAGCCACCAATGCATTTCACCATTGAAAAAGTTGAACTCGATACCAAACTTGTCAAGCAGAGAAGAGAGAAGACGTCTCAGAACCAGAATTTTGTGACACTGAACTTCTCCATCGAGGAGCAGGATCACGTTTTAGTGTTTCGTTGTCAAGCGAGGATCATGTCTGGGTTCCCCGTGCAGACTTCGGACTCTATCAGGAGTGAACTGGTCACCGTGACGGGTCAGGAGCCTGCTCTTCTTCTCGCTCTTCTTCGTGCTGTGGGGTTGGGGAGAGGGAGAAAGCGCTAGAATTGGAGAGGGACTCGGCCTTTCCTCTGAATTCAATCCTGTCTATTCCCCTCCCCCACCCCACTTCTCTCTCCCTCACACACACAAAGAGAAAAGAAAAATGGCTCAAGATACACAATTGAGCCAAAAGGAAAGGAACTCACACGAAGAAAAAAAAGAAAGGAGTTGAGAGCTTTGTTTGTGTGGTGGTAGTCAAGCTTAAAGTCGAAGCCTCTCCCCCTCCCTTGAGTTAACAAAGCTCAAGGCTGGTGCTCTACCACTTGAACCATACCTCTACCTTTAGCTTTTGTACTGCTGAATCAGATTTGTCTGTCCAGGCAGCTGGCTTCAAACCACAATGCTCAGATCTCAAGCCTCCTGAATAGCTAAGATTACAGGCTGGAACCCCCCCCCCAGCGCTGGACAAAAGATGGAGGAGTTGTTAATTGGGGAGACATAGACTGGGAAAAGGGGAGCAGCAAAACCAGCAAGAAACAAACAAACAAAATAAATCAGGGCCCAGGCTTGACACGCTGAAACCAGCTTGTCTTGTTTTCTTGTAGAATCCTTCTCTACTCCCAAGTTCCACATCAGCCCCCCAGGGGTGATCACAGAAGGTGACCAGGTTCACATCAAATGCACCATTCAGGTGACGCACCTGGCCCACAAATTCCCGGAAATCATCATTCAGAAGGACAAGGAGATCGTGGCCACCACCAAAGAGGGCAGCGAGGCCGAGTACTCAGTCATGGCCATGGTGGAAGACAACGGTAACTACACATGCAAGGTAGAATCGAGCCGCATATCCAAGGTCAGCAGCGTCCTGGTCAACATCACAGGTAGGGCTGCTGTGCGAAGATCTGCTGGGCAGTGGCAGGCTCGCCAACACCTATGCTGTCTGTGCTGTCAGCCAGGGTAGCCACCGTGAGCTGATTTTGTGGGTGTGTGTGTCAGAGGTCTTGAACTCGGGGCCTGGGCGTTGTCCCTCAGCTCTTCAGCTCAACGCAATCATTCTACCACCTGAGCCACAGCACCACTTCCGGTTTTCTAGTGGTTCATTGGAGATAAGAGTCTCATAGACTTTCCTGCCCAGGCTGGCTTTGAACCAGGATCCTCAGATCTCAGCCTCCTGAGTAGCTAGGATTATAGGCATGAGCACTGGGCGTCCAGCTAGCTGATTGGTCTTTGCCTCTGCTTGTGTGAATGTCTCTGCTCCGGCTGGGCTTTGGGAGTCATGGAGACAAGTTCATGAGCAGGCAGCACGTGGGTGGCTGTGGTGGCTGTGGGATTGGCAGCTCTGGTGCCAAGCCCAAGCAAGCCGCTCCCTAGCCTGTGTACTCGGGTTATTAGCTTTGCCTGAGCTCTGAGAGGCCAGGTTAGGATGACACCTACCTTTCTAGGACTGTTAGGATGGCTGCTGAGGAAGAGGGCTAGACTATGGTGTGTTAGTGTGTCACCTTGCATAGAATAAACACTCAAGGAGGGTTGGCTAATGTGTGTATGATCAGACGTCATTCATCTTTCTTTGGCCAAGCACAGACACAGATTGAGACAGGGTTGGGAATGAGAGCATTTGTGAACTCAAGAATAATAGCAATATGGGGCTGGGAAGGTGGCTCGGTGGTAGAGCGCTTACCTTGCATGCATGAGGCCCTGGGTTTGATTCCTCAGCACCACATAAGCAGAAAAAGCTGGAAGTGGCGCTGTGGCTCAAGTGGTAGAGCGCTAGTCCTGAGCTGAAGAGCTGAGGGACAGCGCCCAGGCCCGGAGTTCAGGCCCCACGACCAACAACAACAACAAAAAAGAAGAATAGCAATAACTTCCCACTGCTGAATACTGTGCTCACAGACATGTTTATTTCATGCTCACAACCATTCTAGGAAGTAGATGCTGTGATACCCATTTTACAGATGTGGACACTGAGACTTGGAATTACAGGGTCACTCAAACGGCAGAAGAAAAGTCACCATTATGCATGCTTGATTTCCAAATCCATCACTTAAAAGTTCCTTCTTAGCCAGGTGCTGGTGGCTCACACTTGTAAGCCTAGCTACTCAGGAGGCTGAGATCTGAGGATCACAATTCAAAGCCAGCCTGGGCAAGAGAAGTCCCTGACACTCTTATCTTCAATTAACACTAAAAAAAGAATTGGAAGTGGCACTGTGGCCCAAGTGGTAGAGCACTAGCCTTGAACAAAAAAACACAGGGAGGGCTAGGAAGGTGGCTCAGTGGTAGAGTGCTTGCCTCGCAAGCATGAGACCCTGGGTTCGATTCCTCAGCACCACATAAGCAGAAAAAAACCAGAAGTGGTGCTGTGGCTTCAGCTCAGCCTTGAGCTGAAGATCTGAGGGACAGTGCCCAGAGTTCAGGCCCCACAACTGTCAAAAAACAAAAACAAAAACAAAAAACCATAGGGACAGTGCCCAGGTGCTGAATTCAAGCCCCAGGACTGGCAAAAAGAAGGAGGAGGAGGAGGGGGGGGGGTGAGGGGAGGAGGAACAGGAGGAAAAAAGTCCCCTTACTCCTATTCTCCTTCCCTGGCTTTATTTCTCTCTAAAATACTTAACACTATAGATAGATAGATAGACAAACAGACAGACAGATAGGTTTCCTGCAGTAAATATGGTATGAAGTATGTCAGTAAACAAGTAAATATATGCATGCATGAATCATGACTTGCTACAGGTTTCAAAATGTCTCATGCATGCACACCTGCATGTGTATGTGTATGCATGCATGGGTGTGTGTGCTGTTCCTGGGCCTTGAACTCGAGGCCGGGGATCTGTCCTTTAGCTTTTGTCCATCAAGGCTGGCGCTCCATCACTTGATTCATACCATTATATCACCTGTTTGCTAGCTCACTGGGATAAGAGTCCGGCAGACTTGTCTGTTGGGGCTGGCTTCAAACCAGGATCCTCAGATCTCAGTCTCCTGAGTAGCTGGGATTACAGGTGTGAGGCACTGATGCCTGATTCCAACATATCTGAAAGCTTCTCCTGGCTGACACTGGAATCTCAGACATGGGTGCGCTCAGGAGCCCTGAGAAGTGAAGGAGGACCTGCAGGAGCGTGGGACAGCGGGCCCGCCAGCATCTCCAGGCAGCGCTGGGAGCGATGCCCAGCTGCATCTCGTCCCCTTTCCTCTTGCTCTGTTTCAGAACTGTTTCCCAAGCCGAAGCTGGAATCGCTGTCTACCCACCTGGACCAGGGGGAAAAGCTGAACTTGTCCTGCTCTATCTTGGGAGGGCTGCCAGCCGATTTCACCATCCAGAAGGGAGACACCATCGTGTCGATGAGTCCGGAGTTCACCAAGATCTCCACGGAGTGGGACAGTGGGGTATACTCCTGCACGGCGGGCGTCGGCAAAGTGGTCAAAAAAAGCAACACGGTTGAAATCACAGTGTGCGGTGAGTGTGCAATCGATCACGTGGCAGGCAGGGCGCTGTCAGACAACACCTGCTCCAGTGTGAAGGCAGATCAGACCCAGGCAGGGCCAGAGCTAGAGAGAGAGAGAGAGAGAGAGAGAGAGAGAGAAGGAGGGGGGCAGGGGGCAGGACATCAAAGGCCCAGGCAGAGCAAATGGGTAATGCCTGCTCAGAGCCCAAAAGAGAGGCAACATGAAAACAATGTGAGCGAAGATCAAGTTCAGGACTTTATTGTGACTATGGCTCACGTGACTCTGGGTTGGTTTCTGGAGCAGGGAACCCAGTTAGCAAAGCAAAGAGGACACTGGCTCAGTCCATGTTACACATTAAGAAGATGGGAGGGAGCTGGGAAGGTGGCTCAATGGTAGAGCGCTTGCCTTGCAGGCATGAAGCCCTGGGTTGGATTCCTCAGCACCACATACACAGAAAAAGTAAGCACTGTGGCACTGTGGAAGTGGCACTGTGGCTCAAATGGTAGAGTGCTAGCCTTGAGCACAGAGAGGCTGAGACAGTGTCCAGGCCCTGAGTTCAAGCTCCAGGACCAGCCCCCCAAAATAATAAATAAAAAGATGGGAGTTATACTGGGCGCTGCTGGCTCACACCTGTAATCTTAGATTCTTGGGAGGCTGAGATTTGAGAATCACTGTTCAAAACCAGCCTGGGCAGAAAAGTGCTTGAGACTCTTATCTCCATTAACCACCTAAAAACCAGAAGTGAAGCTGTGATAGAGCCCTGATCTTGAGCAAAACAGCTCACTGATAGTGCCCAGGCCCTGAGTTCGAACTCTATTACTAACAACAACAAAAAAGAAATTGCCTGGCATCGGTGGCTCACACCTGTAATTCTAGCTACTCAGGAGGCTGAGATCTGAGGATCTAGGTTCAGAGCCAGTCCAGTCAGGCAAGTCTGGGAAACTCTTATCTCCAATTAACTGCCAGAAAACCGGAAGTGGCTCAAGTGTAGAGCTATACCTTGAGCTGAAGAGCTGAGGGACAGAGCCCAGACCCAGAGTTCAAGCCCCTTGGCCTACCAACAAAACAAAACAACAACAACAAAGAACCATGGGCTCTGCTTCGGTGGGTAGGGAGGCAGCGAGATTCTGCCTCTCCAAACAGCACTTAGGTGTTGCTGATGCTACTGGTACCTGGACCAGACTGCACGTCCAGAGTTTTTGGAGATGTGTTCCTTCCATGTCAGTTGTTTTTTGTTGTTGTTGTTTTGTTTTGTTTTTGCCAGTCCTGGGGCTTTAACTCAGGGCCTGGGCACTGTTGCTGGGCTTCTTTTGCTCAAGGCTAGCACTTTATCACTTGAGCCACAGCGCCCCTTCCGGTCTTTTCTGTGTATGTGGCACTGAGGAATTGAACCAGGGCTTCATGCCTGCAAGGCAAGTACTCTACCTACACTAAGCCATCTTCCCAGCCCTTCAATGTTGTTTTACATGATATTTCCTTTTGTTATTCTAGAAAAGCTCTCCAAGCCCAGGATTTCTCATGATGCCAGGTCTGAGATCATCAAAGGACATACATTAAAAGTCAGTTGCCAATCAATAAATGGAACGTTACCCATTACTTACCGCCTTTTAAAAGCCACGGATGTGTTCCAGACTTCTGTGATATACTCAAATGAGCCTGCAGTCTTTGATGATAAACCAGCCAAAGATGCAGTGTACCAGTGCACTGTGGATAATTGCCATTCCCACCCAGAAATGGCCAGTGATGTTCTGAAGGTCAAAGTGATCGGTAAGTTGCTCTGTTAGGAAAACAATGACCAGGCTGGGTGCGGTAGATCCCAGTTATTCAGGGGGCTGAGATCTGAGGACTGAGCTTCATAGCCGGCCCCAGCAGAAAAGTTTGTGAGATTCTTGTTTTCGATTAACCAGCCAAAAGCCAGAAATGGAGCTATGGTTAAAGTGGTAGAGCAACAGCCATGAGCAAAAAAGCCAACCAAGAGTACAAGGCCTTGATTTCAAGCCCCAGTACTGGCACAAAAAATAAAATAGAATATAACCCCAGCCCCACTAACATACATCACTGAATATACCCGGCAGGATGATGGTGTGAGGATCAGGTGACCTTTTGGGTTTCTTCCAAGGTGTGTTTGCAACAGCCAGCAGTTTAGCCATGCCTGGTGGGCGGCGCCTGCGGCTGATTCTAACGTTTGGAAAGTGAAGGCAGGAGGAACAGGAGCTCTAGCTAGACCAGCCTGACAACATAGAGACCCTGGCTCCAACACGAAAGAAGAAAGAAGGGCTGGGAAGGTGGCTCCGTGGTAGAGCGCTTGCCTTGCATGCGTGAGGCCTTAGGTTCCATTCCTCAGTACCACATACACAAACAAATAATGCTGAAGACTTTAAAAAAAATCTAAAAATGAAAAGAAAAAGCAAGAAGAGAGAGGGAGAGAGAGATGGGAGAAATGAGAAAGTGGGTAGTAAGGATGTAAGTCACAAAGGAGAAAGGAGAAAAAGCAGATGCTGGCAGGGTGAGATGCTACTCCTCAAAGACCACCGGAGACCATCGGAGATTCAGGTTTATTCAGAACAAGCCAAGGCTCTGGCCTCGTCCTATGCACTCAGAGGGAGGAGACCCCAGCGACATTCCAGCAGGGTTTATAAAGGCAAAAACCACAAAGTCACAAAAAGTTACATTGACCAGATGTTTAAGCAAAATTACATATGAGTACGACTGGCTGGGGCTAGGGGTACCATTCCAGGGCGGTTAGCATCAGCGGGGAGTTACACGACCCAATGGACCATCTGAGGGAAGCGGGGGGGGGGGGGGGGCAGTTGTGGTCTGGTAGTTTCGGTACACACAGCTCTTTCCTGTAATTTGTGCAGGTTCTGGTCAATTTCAACTTAATAATACCTCTCGGCATAATGGCACTTCTCAAAAACACCTTGGTCAACAGTGCTTGGAACAAAGGCAAAAAGTTAAACATAAAACGTGGCCTGAGCAAGATAGAGTGACTCGTTCTCTCATGAGGTCTCTCATCCCCTCCTCTTCTAGAGCGTCAGGGAGCAATCATGGTCCCTGAATTGGCACAGTCTTTTATATTTACGGTTTGGTATTGGGATCTCAGAACTAATAAATGGACTGCGCTGATCTCTTTTTCCAAGGCCCCATTGTGAGTAACAAAATTAACAGCACCAAAGGCCCTTACATTTTTTTTTCAGTCCTGACTCCATATATCACAGCTAACTTAATTTTATACCAGCTGTATTCATAAGCTCCAATTTTAAAGACATATCATACCATTTGCTACATACTTAAACTTTCTGGGGTTTGTCTTCTTTACAAACATTTTAAGACAATCCTTACTTTTCAAATCCTTTCTTATCCAGAGGATTCCAATTTTTCCCCAATTCCTTTCCCAAGGCTTTCTTTACTCCCTCCTCTTCAATTCCTTGAGCATCTTTGTGGCTAGAATTTAAAACTGCCCATTTCACCGCTCCCCTCCCCCCTGGCTTGTGGAACCAAGTACGAAGTTATCTCAGAACAGCCTCCAGGCACCACTGGGATGCAGAAGCTTGCTAGATTTTAAGGCTAAGAGCAGGGCTGGGTCTCATTACTACCTGCATTGATAACACACTCAGGTTATTACCATACCAGAGCCAAACTAGGCTGTGACTATAGAGTGGATTTCCAGTCACTATGCACTGAAGTGCCTAAGGCAAGCAAGCCAGTGATGTCCTTGCCCCCAAAATCCACTGTGGGAATAGAGAGGGTTTCTGGATATCACCCAAAAGAATGTCCCACAAGATCTTAGTTTTAGCAGCTTTCCACCGGGATGCAGTCTCAGGTGATGGAACCAGGCAGGAGTTCAGTCTACTTTTATCACAGTGAAGGTGGTCTGGGTGACGATGTAGATTTCCTCCAGGTGACTATCAGGCTGTCTTCAAACTTTACTCATTAAGGTATGCAGCAGCAGCAGCAGCAGTGTCTCTCAGTGGCTCCAAGGGACTGTCACACCTCATGCTGGGCTGCAAGCTTCTATACAGACTGGTTAAGGATACATTGCATAGGCTTGGCAGGCTTTGACCCTGCTGTTTTTTTTGGGTTTTTTTGGGGTCCGGTCGTGGGGCCTGAACTCTGGGCCTGGGCGCTGTCCCTCAGCTCTTCAGCTCAAGGCTAGCGCTCTCCCACTTGAGCCATAGCCCCACTTCTGGCTTTTTTCTTTTTGCTTATGTGGTGCTGAGGAATTGAACCCAGGGCCTCATGCTTGCAAGGCAAGCACTCTACCACTGAGCCACCTTCCCAGCCCCTGACCCCGCTGTTTTTTAAGACTGTTTACACAATAGCCCAGGACAATTTACCAAAATCACAACTTTTTTTTTTTCTAACAAGTTATTTTTGTAAACAGACACAGAAGGCTTAGTCTTGTAACCATCTCCGACAGATGCAGTCTCCACACTTAGACACCTGTTAACACTATTTTTTATGCCTTTTTCTAAAAAAATAATAATAGTTATTATTTTATCTATTTTGCCTTGTTTTTCTAAAACTGACTCTGGACTCTTGATCTTAACAGGGGGTTGATGGGCGAAGGTCCATCTTCTGTAACTTCTTCAAGCCGACTTCAGGGGCGTTGATCCTACCTAGCCAGGGACCTATAACCTTAGCCTATTTCACAAAGAGGCTATTGGGGTTAGATGTCATTTTATTTATTTATTTTGGGTCCGGTCATGGGGCCTGAACTCCGGGCCTGGGCGCTGTCCTTCAGCTCTTCAGCTCAAGGCTAGCGCTCTACTACTTGAGCCATAGCACCACTTCCGGCTTTTTTTTTTTTCTGCTTATGTGGTGCTGAGGAATCGAACCCAGGGCCTTGAGCATGCAAGGCAAGTGCTCTACCACTGAGCCACCTTCCCAGCCCTTTTCTTCTGCTTATGTGGTGCTAAGGAATCGAACCCAGGGCCTCATGCATGCAAGGCAAGCGCTCTACCGCTGAGCCACCCTCCCAGCCCTGGGGCTAGATGTCATTAAGAACATATTTTAACTTTTTTTCAAGGGGTCAGGGATATTAGTGTGATCTTTCTCTTTCTCCCCCAACCCCCCAATCCCAACAGAACTCTCAAGTGGTGCTGAATATTCCATACTAAATAAGGAAGGGCCTAGGGACCCTGTGTTTAATTAATAATTACTGATGACAGGAGAAGGTGTCCCGACTGACTTCTGGGCTAGTCCTGGACGGGACTGTAACAGAAGATTAAACAAAGGAATGATGTAAACAAAATTGCAGCCCAAGTGTCAGTCACAGCCCTAGGGCCCAGTTGGCTGTGAGCAGTATCCATTTTGTGTTTCTACTCTGTGCCTCTTCTTTTGATTTATTTATATATATTTATTGGGGGACATTGTGAGACAAGGTCTTACTGTATAACCCAGGCTTGAACCTGCCATCTTCCTGCCTTAGCTTCCCGTGTGCTGAGATTCCAGGTATGCGCAACCATACTCAGCTCAGTGTCCCCACTCCCCCCACCCCCCCCAGCTTCTTTCTTCAGTGCTAATCCTCTGCCCACTTTCCAGCTCCGGTGGTCCAGGTCAAACTTTCCATCCTGTTGAGTGAGGAGGTGGAATCTGGGAAGGAAATGGTGCTCCAATGCTCCGTGGAGGAAGGGACCGCTCCAATCACATACAGGTTTTACAAAGAAAAGGAACACAGCCCTTTCTACCAAATCATCTCCAATGAGACCCACGCATTTTGGCGCAAGCCTCAGGCTAGCAAGGAACAGGAGGGAGAGTACCATTGCACGGCCTCCAACAGAGCCAGCCTCGCCCAAAAGAGCCCCCAAAGCAACACTTTGACAGTCAAAGGTGAGTCTGGGTCTCATTAATGGCCACGAAGGCAGAGTGGGCTTCACAGGAGGACAAAAAACACTTTTTTTTCTCGTCGGTCATGGGGCTTAAACTCTGGGCCTGGGCGCTGTCCCTCAGCTCCTCAACTCAGCTCTACCACTTGAGCCACAGCACCACTTCTGGTTTTCTGGTGGTTTATTGGAGATAAGAGTCTCATGGCCTTTCCTACCCAGGCTGGCTTTGAACCAAGATCCTCAGATCTCAGCCTCTTGAGTAGCTAGGATTACAGGCCTGAGCCACCAGCGGCTTGGCATTAAAAAACAAAACAAAACAAAAAACCACTTCCTGCAAGAGGGAGAGACAGGGAAGTTAGCTCTCGTAATGGAGGACTAAGTGAATCAAGTCTTTACAAACAAAACAAAACAATTCACTCAACTTAGTTAAAAAGAGAAGTTGAACGGCTACCCAAAGGAGAAGGACTTGATTGCTACAAGTAATCAGATGTAGCCAGGCACCTGGTGGCTCACATCTGTAATCCTAGCTAATTCTTAGGAGGCTGAGATTTAAGGATTGTGATTTGAAGCCAGCCTGGGCAAGAAAGTCCTTGAGACTCTTACCTCCAATTCACCACTGGAAAAGTAGAAATGACGCCATGGCTCAAAGTGGTAGAACACTAGCCTTGAGCTTAAGAAAAAGAAACTCAGCAGGCTGGGAAGGTAGCTCAGCGGTAGAGTGCATGCCTTGCAAGCATGAGGCCCTGGGTTCGATTCCTCAGCACCACATAAACAGAAAAAGCCGAAAGTGGTGCTGTGGCTCCAGTGGTAGAGCACTAGCCTTGAGCTGAAGAGCTGAGGGACAACGCCCAGACCCAGAGTTCAGGCCCCATGACCAGCAAAAAAAAAAACTCAGGGACAGTACTCAGGCCCTGAACTCAAGCCCCAGGACTGTCAAAAAAAATAAGTATTCCATACAGTCTCAACATTTTTTTTTTGGGGGGGGGGGGCTGGTCCTGGGACCTGAATTCTGGGCCTGGGCGCTATCCCTCAGCTCCTCAGCTCAAGGCTAACACTCTACCACTTGAGCCACAGCACCACTTCCAGCTTTTTCTGTGTATGTGGTGCTAAGGAATTAAACCCAGGGCCTCATGCATGCAAAGCAAGCACTCTATCACTGAGCCACCTTCCCAGCCCCATCAACTCCAAATTTTTGAAGAGAGATTACTAATTGAATGGACTCGCCTTAAGGCACACATCCATCCACTCACGGGCTATCTATGGCTAAGGAGATTGGGTCACACAGAAGGGATGTGTTTAGAAGAGCCCAACAAGCTGGGTGGAGGATAGTTTTATTGAGAAGTATGTGGGTTGAAAGGACATCCCAAAATGAACCCTCCCTGGGCAAAGATAGTTTGATCTCTCCTTGAAGCTCATAGCCGACTGAGGTTAGAACAGAAGCAACTCTTTCCGAAGCAGCTGAGTACAAAGCCTCAGGGAAGAGAGCTCAGATAACTAAGGTGCCAGTTAGGAGGATTGCACAAATCAGCCTTACTTGGTGTATAATCAAGACTCGTGGGCTGGGAAGGTGGCTCAGTGGTAGAGTGCTTGCCTTGCATGCATGAAGCCCCTGGGTTTGATTCCTTAGCACCACATACACAGAAAAAGCTGGAAGTGGTACTGTGGCTCAAGTGGTAGAGCCTTCAATAAAAGAAGCCCAAGAACAGTGCCCAGGCAAAGAAAGAACCTAAATCTTTCCTTGCTTCCTCTTTCCCATCTCTAGTGTTTCTTGCCCCCTGGAAGAAAGGCCTCATTGCACTGGTTGTTATTGGGGTGATAATTGCTACCTTGATTGTTGGAGCCAAATGCTACATTTTGAAGAAAGCCAAGGGTAAGTCCAGATTCCAGATCCTTCCCTCCATTCTGACAGGGGATCCTTGCCAGGAAGCCAGCCATATCCCCGAGGCAGCATAGGTGAGACTTCCTGTCAGGAAAACAAAGATTCTGGCTTGGAGTGGGGTGGACTTGTCATGTCCTTGGTTTTATTTGATTATTTCTTGAATTTTGTTTCTGTGCTGGTACTGGGGTTTGAACTCTTGCTTAGGTTGTGTGTTCTGTTTGCTCAAGGCTGGTGCTCTACCTGTTGAACCACAGCTCCACAGCCATCCTTGGATTTACTTGAGCAAAAATCAGAGTGAGGGCTTTCCTAGCCAATCAGGAGAAACAGGATGAGGTTGCATTTTCATATGGGGTGTAGCCACATCTAGTCCTGGAATTGGCAGAGTAGGTATCACACACACACACACACACACACACACACACACACACACACACACACTACTGAATGTCTCCCATTTACTCAGTCAAATCACTTCTGGCTAAAGCATCAAAACATGTTACATTAACAGGGTACTGGTGGCTCACGCCTGTAATCCTAGCTACTCAGGAGGCTGAGATCTGAGGATCAGGGTTCAAAGCCACTGGGCAGGAAAGTGCATGAGACTCTTATCTCCAGTAAACCACTCAGAAAACTGGAAGTGGCGCTGTGGCTCAAGTGGTAGAGCACTAGCCTTGAACTGAAGAGCTGAGGGACAGCACCCAGGCCCAGAGTTCAAGCCATGCAACAGACCAAAAAAAGGTCACATTATTTGAGGAAATTATGTGAAAATTCTTGATACAAGAACCAAGACACTTGTAATACTGGCTACTTGGGAGGCTGAGATTGGGAGGATGGTGGCTAGAGGCCAATCCTATATATACAGCAATAGTTAGGGTTCAGTGTCTCATATCTATCATCCAGGCCAGGTGAGAAGCAAAGATTAGAAGGATTTAGGTTTTAGGCCAGTCTGGGGGGAAAATTGGAGAGACTTCATCTCAGTGCCCCCCACCCCCCCAAAAAGGAGGGGAGACCTCCTATCTCAAAATAATAACTGGAAAAAAAGAACTGGTGTAACTCAGTGGTATAGCACCTATGTAGCAAGTATAAGGCCCTGAGTTCGAATCCTACTGTCCCACATACACACAAAGCCCCCAAGAGAAAGGCTGGGAATACAGCTCAGCCGTACAACACAGGATGAAGCCCTGGATTTGATTCCTAGCTTTGCAGTGGGGGCAGGGGAGGGGGGTGAAAGGAGGGAGACACAAAGAAAACACCTCTTCCTTCCTGTCTTTTGAGTTTCCTCGACTCCTTTTGAAGAATGAGTATTTGGCTTTCTTTTCCTTTTTATGGGTGTATGATCTTTAAGGAAAGCCAAAAGTGATTGAAATGTCTGCGCCTCCCTTGTACACTTATACTGACCTCCATTTCTCTTTCTTTTTCAAAGCCAAGCAAGTGCCTGTGGAGATGTCCAGGTCAGTGTCCTCCGCCCCCCCACCATGGGTGGGGCCATGTTGTGGGCATGGCTTCATTGTGGGTGTGGCCGCACTGTGGGTGTAGCTGGGCTTGACTAGAGGGAGGGCGTGGACGTTAGGAAGTTTTCCTGGCAAACTCAGAAAGATAAGAGCCTGTGTGTGTGTGTGTGTGTGTGTGTGTGTGTGTGTGTGTGTGTGTGTGTGTGTGTGTGTGTGTGTGTGTGTGTGTGTGTGTGTGTGTGTGTGTGTGTGTGTCCGTGTGCCCACACACACATGTACGTTGTAATGGAAGATTGCCAATTGTTTTCTCAAGGGAAGGATTTGACTTTAGTACTGAGATTATGTCTTTCCTAGATTCTTGTTTATTTATTTTTTGTTTTTATTTTTGTGTTGGTCCTGGGACTTGAACTCAGGACCTGTGCAGTGTCATCAAGCTTTCTCACTCAAAGCTAGCACTCTACCACTGGAGCTTCCACTCTACTTCCAGGTTTTTGCTGGTTAATTGGAGATAAGCGTCTCATGGACTTTCCTTCTCAGGCTGGCTTTGAATCACTATTCTCAGATCTCAGTACTGAGTAGCTAGGATAATAGGCATGAGCCACCAGTGCGAAGCTAGATGATTGTTTATTAAACCCTCTTTTCCTTATGAGACTATCATGATAGATGGGAAATTTTTAATTTTTTAAATTTATTTATTCATTTATTTTTGCTTACTTAGAAAAAGAACAGTTGGCTGGGAGTCTGTGGCTCACACCTGTAATCCTAGCTACTCAGGAGACTGAGATCTGAGGATTGAGGTTCAAAGCCAGCCCGGGTAGGGAAATCTGTGACTTTTTTTTTTTTTTTTTTTGGGTCTGGTTGTGGGCCTGAACTCTGGGCCTGGGCGCTGTCCCTCAGCTCTTCAGCTCAAGGCTAGCACTCTACCACTTGAGCCACAGTGCCACTTCCGGCTTTTTTTTTCTGCTTATGTGGTGCTGAGGAATCGAACTCAGGGTCTCATGCATGCAAGGCAAGCACTCTACCACTGAGCTACCTTCCCAGCCCGTCAGTGAGACTCTTATTTCCAATAAACCACTAGAAAACCAGAAGTGGTGCTGTGGGTCAAGTGGTAGAGTGCTTGCCTTGAGCTGAAGAGCTGAGGGACAGCGCCCAGGCCCAGAGAAATAAGAGTTTCAGGGACTTTTCCTGCTCGGGCTGGCTTCAGCCTTGATCCTCACAGCTGAGTCTTTTGAGTAGGATTACTGGTGTGAGCCACCAGCTCTTGGCTAAGAAAGCTTTCTTGATTTTGGAAAACTCTTGCTACTTTCTCCTGATCTTCCTTTGATGATTTTGCTCATTTGGGTGGAAACTGTAAAAAAAAAAAAATTGTATGCAAATCTCTGTACATATCTTTAATTTCGCTTTTACTCTTTCATTTGAAGGCCAGCAGCCCCACTGCTGAACTCCAACAGTGAGAAGGTGCCAGAGCCCAATATGGAAGCCAACAGCCATTATGGTAAAGCTCTAGTTTCCTGGAGTTACAGAACTGAGTGGGCGGGGCTAAAAGTAGAGTGACAGCTTGGCTTCCAGTTCCAGGACTTACCTAATCAGCCTTTAGAGAGTGAGCTAATAAAACAAAACAAAAACTTATAAAAAGCAAAGCAGAACATTTTGTCCTGTTTTCACCACCTTCTAAACTTCCTTTGGAATGAAAAATAGCCAATGATTCTAAAACCTCGACTGAACACCACCCCAAAGTAATCATTCTGATTTGGCAAGGCAGAGACCAGATGTCAAATTAGATCATTTGCATAAAACATCTTCTCAGATGCAATTATTACACGCATAAGACAGTCTTACTTTGCCACAGAGGGAAAGAGTGGAGCACGCCACTAATCCCAACTATGTGGGAAACATAGTGAGTCAGATTACAGTCCATGTTTGGACAAAAAGCATGAGACCCTACCTGGAAAATAAAAGCAAAATGGGGAAGGGGAGCTGAGGGTGTAGATCAAATGTAGAGTGGCTTCCTAGTAAGCACAAGGCCCTGAGTTCAAACCCCAGTACTAAAATAAAGATGGATAGGTAGGTAGGTAGATGGATAGATAGATAGATAGATGATAGATAGATAGATAGATCAATCTAGAATTGCCATTGTCACTTATCCTATTTATTATTTTTCAAGCAGGGTATGACAAAGTTGGAAACCATGCAGAGAAACCACTAAATGCAAACAAAAGTAATTATTCACGTTTTTATTAGCAAATTTTACATAAAAACAAAGCTGTATCTACTGACTGTTGCCAGTCCTTCCCTTGTTTATACCTTTGATCCTAACTACTCAAGAGGCTGAGATCTGAGGGCTGAACTTCAAAGACAGCCTAGGCAGGAAAATCTGTGAGACTCTTATCTTTTCCAATTAACTACCAAAAAACCAGAAGTGGAGATGTGGTTCAAGTAGTAGAACACCAGCCTTGAGTGTAAAAACTAAGGAAGGCCCCTCTGCACAGTATTTTCATAATAAAAAACTTACTTAAAAAATAAAATATGTCAGAGGTAGGCCGTTGATCACGAGGAAGACCAGAACCAGATGAACTGGTGAGAAAAAGGACTTGTGAGAAATTGGCATTGAATAAAATTCAACCCAAACATTTTTTTTTTTTTTTTGTCCAGTCGTGGGGCCTGAACTCTGGGCCTGGGCGCTGTCCCTCAGCTCTTCAGCTCAAGGCGAGCGCTCTACCACTGGAGCCACTTCCGGTTTTTTTCTTTTTTTGCTTATGTGGTGCTGAGGAATCGAACCCAGGGCCTCATGCATGCAAGGCAAGCGCTCTACCACTGAGCCACATTCCCAGCCCAATCCAAACATTCTTGAAATTGAAGATGGCAAATGTTTCTTCTATTCTAACAAAATGCACTGTTTTAAGTGTTGCTTATATTCCTTGACATTTTTTAGGGGGAGCCTGGGTGCAGTAATCAGGCTCCTCAGCTCAAGGTGAGTGCTCTACCACTTGAGCCACAGCACCACTTCCGGTTTTCTGAGTAGTTCATTGGAGATAAGAATCTCATGGACTTTCCTTCCCCAGCTGGCTTTGAACTGTGATCTTCAGATCTCAGCCTCCTGAGTAGCTAGGATGACAGGCGTGAGCCACCAGTGCCTGGCTTTTCTGGCATTTTTAGCGATGACTGAGCAGGCCTTCACTGCTCACCATGGGCTGTCTTCAGTATCTACTGACTGTTACCAGTCCTTCCATTGTTCAAGATCAGACCTTAGGCTCCACCCACATCCGGGTAGCCATCAGTCAGAGAGGGGACCAATATCCCCAAAGCCCTGACGGCCATCCAAGCCAGTTCAGTGCTTATCTTGCCTACCATAACCTGAAGTTTCACATCCACTTAGGATGAAATTAAGCCTGTGTACCCCTTAATATTTAGGGTACTTGAACAGAAATTCCAATCGAAATCTCTCATGTACCCCCATGTCCGTCCATTCCCCCCCCCCCAAAGCGATGCTGTCTAAATGCAGCCTGCTGTGGTTCCTTCACAGACCCTCTGAGCGTGGACGTGGAGTACACTGAAGTGGAAGTTTCCTCCGTGGAGCCCCGCCAAGGTAAGCGCCCCTCACCTGCTCTTAGTGACAAGGGCTCTGGGAAGAGGGGTTGGTCAGCAGACCTAAGGCATATGATACACCATGGTGATAATCGTGAATTAGGATACTATTGATGTGGGGTACCCCGCATTAAGTGTTCACTAAGTGCCATGACTCGGAGATGAGAGATTCATTTCTGTGAACGAAAGCAGCCTTGGGCTGGGACTGTGGCTTAGTGGTAGAGCATGCCTAGCATGCAGGAAGCCCTAGGTTCGATTCCTCAGTACCACATAATCAGAAAAAAGCTGGAAGTGGTGTTATGGCTCAAGTGGTAGAGTACTAGCCTTAAGCACAGAGAGGCTCAGGGACAATGCCCAGGCCCTGAGTTCAAGCCCTAGGACTGGCAAAAAGAAAGAAAGGAAAGGAAAGGAGAGAAGAGGAAAGAGAAGAGGGTCCTATTCTGGGTGTTCTGGCTTTCTTCCAGTGTCTGGAAAACAGTGTTAGGACACAAGGCCATGTATCAATCAAATGCACATTGGAAGGTATGGAGGGACATTTGGGGACAGACAGTCCCTCTCAGAGTGAATGGATGGGTGCCTGGGCTTTTGTGTTTGCGTGTGTTGGTTTTCTCAAGGACGGGGAGTCCCGATCTCTGCATCAGGACTAGGGAACTGAGGCAGAGTGGGCATGTTCCATAGCCAATACTAAAACATCCATCTCAGCTGCTTTTTGATTTGTGTGTTTGGCAACACGAGGCATTGAACTCAGGGCTTTGAGCTTGCTAGATTGGTGTTGTACTACTTGAACCATTCTCCTAGCCCTTTTTTGCTTTAGTTATTTTCTATCTAGGTCTCACCTTTTTTTTTTGGCCCATGACCAGCAATCTTCCTACCTATGCCTCCTGCATAGCTGGGATTATAGGTACATACCACCATACCCAGCCCATCAAAGCTGCTTTGGGTACCTAAAAATACAAAATGCAGCTCCTAATCCTTCTTCCCCTTAGCTCACTCAGGCTCCTGCGAACTCAAAGACAAAAAAAAAAAAAAAAAAAAACCAAAACACATACAAAAAAAAAGCAAACACCCAGAGTCTTCCAGCCCTACTGGAAAGTTCGGGACTGCTGCCATCCAGCTCCCTCTCCACCAAGGCTGAGGCCAGGCTGTGTTCTTGGCCAGACAGGTCTGGGAAGTTTTCCAGGCTGGGCCCAGAGTCAGGAATCACATGGTGATAGTGACCTGAAGCCACCTCTCTCTTTTTTCTTTGTCATTGGTGGAGCTTGATGACAGGCGTAAGCCACCAATGCCTAGCCTGATGCCACCTCCTGCTCCATGATCTTGGAAGAATTTGGGGATCCTTTCTTGTGTTCTTGCTGCCAGAACCTTCCTGCCAAGGCTGTACCATATGGTCCCTAAGTTGTGTACTGACGGCTGGGTCTCTCTCCTGTGGTCTCCAGTCAGAAACAGCCTCCAGGAGTCTACCCTGCGTTATCCGAAGAGCGTCCCACTTCTAAGTACCAGCTGGACCTGGTACTTAGAAGGGAACAGGGCAGGCTTGAAGTTTTATGGGAAAGTGAATCCCTTATTGACATAATGAATAATGAATGTCATGGACGTGCAGCCTCAAGAGCTGGAAAAGCAAGGCAACTGAGGGCAGATAGCACCTGGTGATTTAAGCCCTGGGAAAAGAACAGAATGGAGTTCAATGACGTTTTTGGGTGGTTTAAGGAAATCTCATTGAGAGGGAGCATGCAAGCTAGAGCCTGGTGGCTATGAAGAAGGCGCCCCCCCCCCCGCCCCAACATGAGAGAGAGCTGGGGGGCCTCCAGGGAATAGGAAGGGCAGGTATGAGGTGTGTGAGATGGTTCCTATCTTGGCTCATTTTAAATCTGGCTAGATGGGGTGGCACATGCCTATAATCTCAGCACATGGGAGACAGAGGCCTCACGAGTGAGGCCAGCCTGGGCTAGAGTGGAAAATCTGAAAGGAGGCTTGTATGTCTGCAGAGTCAGGGTAGAAAGACATGGATGGAGCTGGGGGAGGAGCAGGCTTGGGGCTCAAGCATACAGGGTTTTTTTCCATCCTCTAAATAGATCAGGGATGGGCTGGGAAGGTGGCTCAGTGGTAGAGTGCTTGCCTAGCATGCATGAAGCCCTGGGTTCCATTCCTCAGTCCCACATACACAGAAAAAGACAGAAGTGGTGCTGTGGCTCAAGTGGTAGAGTGCTAGCCTTGGGCAAAAGAAGCTCAAGGCCCTGAGTTCAAGCCCCAAGACTAGATCAGGGAGGTTTTGGAAACATTAGGCAGACTCCAAGTCCTTCTTTTAAGAAAGAAAAGGATCAAAGGAGGAAAGAATGGAAGCAGAGAAGCTATTTGAGAGCTGGCAAGAGATGGATTCTAATGTATTTTGCAGACAAATCAATGGGAATTGAATGATCAACACAGGGCACAGCAGAAGTTCCACATGTTTCTTGCTGGAATAACCACATGGAGGCCATGTCTGAGGCTGGGAGACATGAGCTAGTGGTGAGAGCTGATTCCATCGGGCTGAATGTGAGTCGCCCAAGAACGAGACAGCACAGGGGCTGGTGCCCAGGGGCTGTGGGCTCCCCACCAGCCCTGCTTAGTCCAGCCTAAGCATGGCACATCCTTCCATCCCTGAGCAACCTGGGCATGGCTCCAGAGGTAGCAACTTTCCTCTTCCTAAGGGAAGAATGCCAGGTTTGGAGGGAAAGAGCAAGGGTCACAAGAGGGCAGAACAATAAGAAGCAGGAGTGAAATCCGGCACCAGTGGCTCACGCCTGTAATCCCAGCTACTGAGGAGGCTGAGATCTGAGGCTCACAATTCAAAGCCAGCTCAGGTAGAAAAGTCCGTAAGACTCTTCTCTCCAATTAACCACCCAGAAAGCTGGAAATGGAGGTGTGGCTCCAAATGGTAGAGCGACAACCTTAAGTGAACAAACTTAAGGGTTAGCACTCAGTCCCTGAGTTCAAGACCTAGCAGTTCAAGACCTGCTGTCTCCTTCATTCCACACCCCACTGTTCTGATGGCAGAGGACCAGGAGATGAACGTTCACAGTCTGTACCTGGGCTCTGGCACCAGGCCGAGGACCCCACAGGGAGGGCTGGGCCCTGCGCCTGCTCCGCTGTTGACCGATCCAAGCGACACTAACGCAGTCTGGGAAGCTTTGGGTTTGAGGAAGCCCAAGAGGGAAGAAGGAAGCACTTGTGTGCTCGGAAAAGACCTTCTAGAAACCTTGAGTTTTCTCATCCAGTGAGTTAGGTCAGGCCTTCCCACATGTGGGGAGTGAGGAAAGGGCTTTGTGGGTTCAAGGCTAGCGATGAGTAAACTTGACCTGGACTTGGCCAAGCCAGTTCCCTGTGGTCAAGGCCGTATCTGTGGAGGACGGGATGGGCAGGAACTCCTTACGCCCTGTCCAGATCTAACCCTGGCTGGCCGCTGGCCAGAGCGGACCACTGGGGGTTGGAGGAGGGGCAGGAAGGAACTGCCTGTTTGCTCCAAGACTGATTGATTGCTGGGAAAACCCCATGACGTGGATGCCATGTCTTTCTCTAGTAACTCAGAGAAAAACAGAAGCCAAAATAAAGCCACACGCGGAAATAGCATTGACAGCAGGAACAAACAGCTGCGGGTCTGGATTAGTCATTAGCAGACAGATGCCATGGGGGAAAGGGGGAGGGGGACCAGCTCCACCCCCTCCCCCTCGCTGAGCTGGGCAGAGCCAGGGAGCCGCTGCAGAAAACCAGGGGCACCTTCAACCTAGAAGCAGAAACTACCCCTTACTGTCCAGCTGAGAAGAGTTTACAGGGTGACAGAGAAGGGGAGTGGCTATTTGGGTCCATTAGGAGCGTTGCCAAGGCAACCAGAGGGGTCTCCTGATCACCCTCCCCCCCATGTGTCTGGGGGCAGTAGAGTTCACGAGGTGTTCATGTCCCCCAGGCTTGGCCATCCCCCTCATTTTATTCACCTCCTTCCCCAGCTCCACTGAGAAGCCGGGACAGAGGACGAGCTGGCAGTGCTATTGCTCCCTCCAATCCCCTCCGCTCTGCACGCAGCAGCAGCCAATAGGATCCATCCCAGCATTGGTGCTCATTTGCATGCTGTGCACCTGCTCATCCCTCAGCCCGCAGCCCCTGAAAGCTAGGACCAGATCCCACCACTTTCTCTTCTTCCACTGTGCAGGCTACACCACAGGTTGATGGGTGACTAGCCAGGCCTGACATTGACCCGAGGGTCCTCTGGGGGTACAGAGGATCTCGAAGCAGCCTGGGGAATCCATAAGCTCCCTTTCACGTCCCACAGCTGGGACATGCAGAGCTACGCGGGCCTCTGTGCTGTCTCTCTTAAATCCTGGCAGTGGAGGATCAGGTACTGTGGCCACTCCACTGAGCTCCCAGTCTTGGCCTGAGGAGTAACTGTAATTCTTTCAGCAAGACCTCCTTGCCCCAAATGCTTCAAGTTCCTCCTTGATATGAGCTGCCTCCTCCCCTCTCCCCCCACCCCCTCCCGCTTTCCCCTGACACACAGGTCCTGACCAAAAAAAGCCACCAACATTTGGTGACTAATAAATGACTGAGATTTTAGTGCTAAAACCTATCTTCAAAAGAGCCCATTTTTATTTTTATTTTTTTGCTGGTCGTGGGGCCTGATCTCTGGGCCTGGGCGATGTCTCTCAGCTCTTCAGCTCAAGGCTAGTGCTCTACCACTTGAGCCACAGCGCCACCTCCGGCTTTTTCTGTTTTTTTTTTGTTTTGTTTTGTTTTTTTTTTTGGGTCCGGTCATGGGGCCTGAACTCTGGGCCTGGGCGCTGTCCCTCAGCTCTTCAACTCAAGGCTAGCGCTCTACCACTTGAGCCACAGCACCACTTCCAGCTTTTTTCTTTTTGCTTATGTGGTGCTGAGGAATCGAACCCAGGGTCTCAGGCATACAAGGCAAGCGCTCTACCACTGAGCCACCTTCCCAGCCCCTCCAGCTTTTTCTGCTTATGTGGTGCTGAGGAATCCAACCCAGGGCCTCTTGCATGCAAAGCAAGCACTCTACCACTGAGCCACCTTCCCAGCCCCAGTGCTCTACCTCTTGAACCATACCCCTCCTTCTAGCTTTTTGCTGACTAATTGGAAATAATGGACTTTTCTGCCCAAGCTGGCTTTGAACTACCATCCTCAGATCTCAGCTTCCTGAGTAGCTAGGATTACACACGTGAGCCACTCGTGCCTGGGAGAAACTTCAAGAGAAAGGCTGATACAGCGTCACCTTCCTGAAGCCAGGGTGTGAGCCAGAGACTACCCGCAGGATATGGGTGGTGCCTTCCACTGTCACATTAAACTGTGACTGGTGCCCGAGGAAGCTGCTCAGAGCCGGGAATGGCAAGGGAAGGCAAGACCTCATCTTCGCCCCAGGCTCTGGGTCCAGCTGGGAACACAGTGTTCCAAACAAACAGAGAGAATATATTGTAGGTAAAAGTTTCCCAAAGGCTGCCAGGCACCAGAGGTTCACGCCTATAATCCTAGCTACTCAGGAGACTGAGAGATCTAAGGATCATGGTTCAAAGCCAGCCCGGGGAGAAAAGTCCATGAAACTCTTATCCAATAAACCACTCAGAAAACTGGAAGTGGCACTGTGATTCAAGTGGTCGAGCTTGCCTTGAGCTGAAGAGCTGAGGGACAGCACCCAGGCCCAGAGTTGAAGCCTCACAACTGACCCCTCCCCCCAAAAAAAGTCTCCTAAGTGCTGTGAGCCCCCAGGACTGTGCTCAGAGGACAGGAAAGGGGTGAGTAAGGATGTGTAGGATATGAACACATGACTACAAGAGTGGAGCGTGTCCAGGGCCTTGGATGAATGGGGCAGAGAGAGGAGACAGTGTCCCCAGGGGATAGGCAGAGTCAGGAAGAGCGGGGATCCCCGGCTTGTGCTGAGGAGTGGTGATCTCAGGATACTCAGAGGCTGTGGCCCTGCCCGTCCATGGACACGAGGAGAGAAATGCCCAGTGGTGCTGGCTATGACATCAAGGAGCATCAGACCCTGCCCGGGGCCCCTTTCCCACCTAGCAGAGGAAGGTGCGTCCCTCACCTGTCAGCTTCCGGCACAGGGAGCTTCCCCAGCCCCTTCTGCAGACAAGAGGAGACAGGAAGTGACCAGGCTGCCTCCTGTTTCCTCGGGGTTTGTGAGTGCGCATGCGTGCACAAGTGAGTGTAAATGGTGTGTGTGTGTGTGTATGTGTATAAGCTACACAAGGTGCACACAGCAGTGTATGCAGGGAGGTATGGGCTGTTCTTTGTTCCCAAGCCCTTAAGTGGCCTTCAGTGGGTATAATCCCTGCCCTGGGTCCATCTTCTTGTCTGCTGTCCTGAAAGGGTTCAGCCCTCAGGATAGTAATCCCAGCAGACCACAAGCCTTCCCAGGAGAGATCTTCCACCGTTTCCCCCTCCCCCCCCCCCCCCCCCCCCCCCCCCGCCGCTGTTCCTGACGGGCCTGGTGATGCCAGGCTCACCCACATGTAGGGATCCAATTCTGGATCTAGGCTCTCTGATGTTTGGGTGACCACAGCCTGGCCTGTTGGGAGGGGCCTGGCTGAGCAGCTAACACAGGGGTCTACAGATGGGGTCACTGGGCTGGGAGCTACAGGCCAGAACAGAGCCCCTCCATTGGTTCCTGGGGCCCAGGGCTGCCCCCACCGTGGCCTGAGGACCTCCTATTTCCGGTGTGTGAGCACTCTGTTAGGAAGAGACCTTTTTCTTTCTTTCTTCTTTATTTGGTTGGTCATAGGCTTGAACTCAGGGCCTGGGCACTGTCCCTGAGCTTTATAGCTCAAGGCGAGCACTCTACCACTGGAGCCACAGCACCACTTCCGGTTTTCTGGTGGTTCACTGGAGGTAAGAGTCTCATGGACTTTCCTTCCTGGGCTGGCTTTGAGCTATGATCCTTAGCTCTCAGCCTCCTGAGTAGCTAGGGTGACAGGTAGGAGCCACGGGCTCCCAGCTCAGGCTGAGATCTTTTGAAGTGGGGAATGGCAAGTCTCCAGCAGCAGGGGGTGCTGTTGTTGAAGTGGGAGGTGGGTGCAGCGGTGGGCTGGCCTTGGCGCAGAGGCAGCTTCTGATCTATGCCTGGTCCTTTTTCCAGCTCTTGGAAGGAAGGGCACTGAGACAGTGTACAGTGAGATCCGGAAAGTCGACCCTAGTGAGTGAGGGGCCCCTGACTCTCCAGCTGGGGGGCGGCGGGGACCCCCAGAATCCACTTGCATCCCATGGTTCTCAAGAGTTGGAAAGGCACAGATATTTGTCACTGTCCCACTGAGTTTCTGATTCCATAGGTTGAAGGATTTACAGCTCTAAGAACTTCCTGCACATTGCAGTACACTTGGCCTGGCCAGTGCACATGGAGGAAACATTTTTTTTTTTTTTGGTGGGGCAGAGGGTGGGGGGGGAGGGGGGGAGTTGGTCATGAGGCTTGAACTCTGGGCCTGGGCACTGTCCTTCAGCTTTTCAGCTCAAGGTAAGGGCTCTACCACTTGAGCCACAGCACCACTTCCGGTTTTCTGGTGGCTGGGAAGGTGGCTCAGTGGTAGAGCGCTTACCTTGCATGCATGAGGCCCTGGGTTCTATTCCTCAGCACCACATAAGCAAAAAGAAAAAAAAAGCCGACTGGACCCCCCCCCCCCCCAAAAAAAAAAAAGAGTCTCATGGACTTTCCTGCCTGGGCTGACTTTGAACTGCAATCCTTTGATCTCAGCCTCCTGAATAGCTAGGATGACAGGCCTGAGCCACTGGGGCCCCGCTTCAGGGAACACGTTTTGAGAATTATTCTGTAGATGAGCCACGTACCTTTCTGATGATAACACACAGCTTCTGTTCCTTCATGGGAAGAGAAGAAGGGACTTTCTCCCCAGAATTTCTGGAGCCATTGTTCAGGCCAGGAAAAAAGCCAGAAACGCTCTGTATGGTGTGGGGGGGACCCCCAATAAAACTAAGGGCCCAGTAAGAAGAGTGCTGAGAGATCAGGAAGCAGCTGGATGTGGGGCAGGGCCCTGAGCCGGTGCTTCCGTCTGTAGTCCACGCTGTCTCCTAGCACTGGCCATACACACACACACACACACACACACACACACACACACACACACACACACACACACACACACACACACACCACTGGCCATACACACACACACACACACACACCAGTGGCCATACACACACACACACACACACACACACACACGCACACCAAACATCATCTGAATCATTTTCCTTTTATGAATGTGTGCTGGTACTGATGTTTGAACTCAGAGCCTCAAGCTCTTGCTTAGCTATTTTTCTCTCAAAAACTGGTGTTCTACCACTGGACCCATAGCTCCACTTCTGGCTTTTTGCTAGTTAATTGGAGATAAGAGTTTCGTGGACTTTCCTGCTTGGGCTGGCTTTGAACCGTGATCCTCAGATCTCAGCCTCTTGAGTAGCAAGGATTACAGGTGTGAGCCACCGGTGCCCAGCTCGAAGTGGAGGTTCTTTTCTTTCCATTTTTTTTTTCCTTTTTGGTCAGTGGTGGGTCTTGAACTCTGGGCCTGGGCACTGTCTCTGAGCTCTTCAGCTCAAGGCTAGCACTCTACCACTCGAGCCCCAGCACCACTTCTGGCTTTTTCTGTTTATGTGGTGCTAAGGAATCAAACCCAGGGCCTCATGCATGTGAGGCAAGCACTCTACCACTGAGCCACTTTCCCAGCCATGGAGGTTATTTTCTATGTCTTGGTCCTCCACACCCATCTACCTGGATATGTTGGATCTGCTAGGGTGAATCAGGGAGTTCAGAGACTCCCCAAGCTCCTCTAACCTAGCTGGTCCCCAGAGGTCATTTATTCCTGAGCCTAAATTTCCCACAAATCTAAGTCAAGCCCTGGATGTCAGGGCTCAGCTCCCTCTACTTCTGCTCCATCCTTATTGATCAGAGTTCCCAGATGGATAGAACCATCCAGCATTGTGCAGCACCCAAAGTAGGAGGTGCAGACCTGGGTTATGTGGTTTGCCCCCACTCCCCATCCCCCCTTGTCCCCTCGGGGTTAGTTTTCTCATTCTTGGGTGTGTGTGTGTGTGTGTGTGTGTGTATGTGTGTGTTTAGTCATGGGCCTGGGTACTGTCTATGAACTTTTACAACCAAGGCTAGCACTCTACCACTTTGAGCCACAGCACCACTTCTGGCTTTCCAGTGGTTCATTGGAGATGACTCTCACAGACTCTCCTGCCTGGGCTGGCTTCAAACAGTGATCCTCAGGTCTCAGCCTCTTGAGTAGTTAGGATGACAGGCGTGAGCCACCAGCACCCAGCTTCATTGATTCTTGATGAAACACCCCTGGAGTGTTTTGTCCCCGAGTGAAGGCCCTCTGTAGTTAGGGTAGTTAGGGCTGGGCAAGTGGGGTCTGTGCCAACGCAAGCACTCAGTGTCTGTCTCTGGATCATAGCCAAGGTTGTGTGAGTCTGCTACTTGCACATCCTTTCTCCAATCACACAAGCGAGCTAGGACATAGAACACAAAATCCTATGTTAGCAGGGTTTGGAGGGTGGGATCAAAAGTAATGTCTATTTGCCACCTTCTACTTGGTTGTTGCTTTCAATTATATCCTTAAAGACATGGGCTACTATTTTTTTTTTTTAAAGACTGCTTAAAATTTGCTAGGCGTGGTGACTCAGGCTTATCATCTGAAGTTACTTGGGCAATAGAGATTAGGGGAAAAAAACAAATCACTGTTCAAGCCGGCCTGGGCAAAAAGTCCCAGCTCAACCAAAGATTCTGTCACAGCCAAATAAATAGCTGGGGAGAGTGACACTTTTGGTCTCCCAGCGATGGTAGGAATAGAAATAGGAGGATGGCAGTCCAGGCTGCCTAAGAGCATAAATACAAGACATTCTTAGAAAAATAAAAGTGAGGGGCTGGGAAGGTGGCTCAGTGGTAGAGTGCTTGCCTTGCATGCATGAGGCCCTGGGTTCCATTCCCCAGCACCATATAAGCAAAAAGGAAAAAAGCCGGAAGTGGCACTGTGGCTCAAGAGGTAGAGCGCTAGCCTTGAGCTGAAGAGCTGAGGGACAGCGCCTAGGCCCAGAGTTCAGGCCCACCACTGGACCCTCCCCCCAATAAATAAATAAAAAATAAAAGCGAACACCTGCTTAGGGTTTGGCTCAAACAGCAGAGCCTGTTCAACAGGTACAAGCCATGAGTTCAAACCTCCTTGCTGAAAAACAAGACGTAAATAAACTGTTTAAAATATCAAATGACATGCTAGGGGGTTTCCATGTCTATCCCTGAAGGCTTTAGGACCCCTAGGAACCTGTCCCATGGGTAAAGGATCCACAAGTGCCACGTATTATTGGCTGGGGCTGGCTCTGTGTCATTGTCCCTTTCCTCTTCCCTGCTGGTGCCAAAGCAGCCCTATGTCATTCGCATGGCTAATAGCCACTTTATCTTTTGTTTTGCAGATTTCATGGAAAACAGATATTCAGTAAGTACACATTGTGCATTTATTTATTTATTTATGTTTTTGTCGGTCCTGGGGCTTGAACTCTGGGTTTGGGCACTGCCCTTGAGCGGTTCAGCTCAAGGTGAACGTTAGACCACTTGAGCCACAACGCCACTTCCACTTCCGGTTTTCTAATGGTTTATTGGAGATAAGAATGTCATGGACTTGGGACGGGGAAGGTGGCTCAGTGGTAGAGTGCTTGCCTTGCATGCCTGAGGCCCTGGGTTCAATTCCTCAGCACCACATAAGCAGAAAAAGCTGGAAGTGGTGCTGTGGATCAAGTGGTAGAGCACTAGCCTTGAGCTGAAGAGCTCAGGGACAGCACCCAGGCCGAGTTCAGGCCCCACAACCACCAAAAAAAAAAAAAAAAGAATGTCATGGACTTTCCTGCCCGGGCTGGCTTTGAACCGTGATCCTCAGATCTCAGCCTCCTAAGTAGCTAGGAGGACAGGCGTGAGCCACCCGCGCCAGGCTAAGTACATATTTTATATATGTGAATGTTAAAAGTGCTCTCCTGAAAGGTTCCCTGACTCTCAGGGAGAGTCTCCTTTTCACTAATAATCCTCCCTTACTACCTCATACTAATTTAGTCTGTTAAAGACCAGCCCTGAGCACCTCTGGACAGCCGGGACCAGGCCCTCCCAGTGTCTGCATCATTATTACATTGATGAAGGACCCTGGAACAACTCCAGAGGACTGGGAATCTAGGGCACTCGTTGCTCTTACAATAAGAAAGACATGGAGTTTCAGAGCATGGTGGTGTGTGCATGCCTGTAATCCCAGCATTCTGGGGGGCTGAGGCAGGAGAGTCAGGAGTTTAAAGCCAATTTGAACTATACAGTACATTCCAGATTAACTTCAGTTTTCTAGCAAGACCTTATCTTCAAACCAAACCAGATTTCACAAAGGAGGAGAAAGGGGATCGGAGGGGCTAAGGGGAGGGAAGGGAGGACGGCTCAGTGGCTTAAGTTCAAGTTGAGTCTCTGACCTGTCTGAGCCTCTCAGCTCTTATCTCCTCTCCTACCTGGGCCTTTCTGGGAGCTGACCCAGCATGGTAGGAGTTAACAGGGTAGCTCTGATGTTCAGAAAAGGCAATTGCCTGTGAACTGATTCTCTAAAGTCTGGGAAGAATTTCCAGCAAGACTTCTGCTAGCCCTTCCAGTGGGGCCCGGCTTCCTTTGTTTTTTTCCCAAGTCTGAATTCTTGTGAAACAGCGCTCTTTATGCTTTGGACAGACAGGAAGGTGCGGGCATTCTTTTTAAGGAGGAAAGCTATCCATTTAAGGAGAAGGAGAGAATTACATGGATGTCTTTTGTCCAGTCTATCCTCCTCCCCGCTGGGCTTCTGAAGTCAGAGACTGTTGTACTGAAAGGGCAGGGAGCCCAATGTACAGATGGGGAAACTGAGGTCTAGGTTGGTAGGGCCACCCAGAACCAGGCTTTCTGGCCTGTGAGTGCTCTGTCCACTGCATAAGAAGTGAAGTTGCTGTCCTAGGAACGGCCTTGAGCGAGTGCAGAGCGAATGTCCCCGTGGACAGCGTGGGGCCTGCGCTACAAATGTGCAAATGTGTTCTCCCGCTCCACTCCGTGGTGGCATCAGCAGTCCCAGAAGCAGCTTACTTACTTGGTCTTCCATCCAAAGCCTGGAGCTCCAGGCCAGGCAGAACTTTCCCTTTCCTCAGATCCTGGCCCCCGGGATCCAAAAGTTCTGTTCTCCGGGATGTTCATCAGAACTCATCCAGGGTGATCCTCCCTCTGTCTCCCTAAAACAGAAAATGATTTGGGCGCGTTCAGGGGGTTCTCCGCTGTGAGGGAAGGACTTCTGAATCCTCACACAAATCAGATTTTTTTCCCCCTAGAAGAAGCAGGTAAGGGTTTGCCTAATCATCAGGCACCCGAGTCAAGAGAAGACTAATTGAATTTTGCCCAGCAGGGAAGTGGGAGGGGATTTCCTTCCTGAAATCAAACCTGGCCATCGGTCTCCTCTTGTTTAACAGCCGTGGCTTCTGAAAACATATTGGAGGAAATATCTTAACAATGAGACAGCCACTTAGCCAACTCTAATTTCGTATTGTTTGACTTGCTTCAATGGCACCCTCTGACTTCATTTTTCCTCTGCCATTTTTGCCTTGTTTATAAGTTGTGCTTGTGGCCAGCACAGACAGATAACGTGATAGAGAACACCCTGAACTTAACTGAGAAGGGTCTCAAGCTCTTGGAGAAAAACCTGTCTTTGGGGGGGGGGGGGGGGAACATAGAGAAAGGGGAGGGGAGGGGGGGAGAGGAGGAGAAGAAGAGTCAGTGGCCAGTTACAGCTCCCCTACTTCTTCCATTGCAGCCACTACAATGGGACCCGCTCAGGAGGGGGTTCAGCAGATGGGGAGTGGGTTCCACATCTTTGGGGGGAAGCCCTGCTTTTCCCAAGCCTAGGCTTGCCCATATATAAATGGAGGTGGTGACGGTGAAGGAGTTCATGATGGTAAAGGAGCTGATGATGGCGGTGTTGAAGGATGGTAGTGATAATGCTGGTGATGTTGTGGTAGTGTGATGATGATGGTGATGATGATGGTGGTGAGGATGATGATGGTGATGGTGGTGGTGGTGGTGTTAATGAGGGTGATGGTGGTAGTAGTGATGGTGGTAGAGGTGGTAATGATGTGTGATGGTGGTAGTGATGATGATGATGGTGGTGATGATGATGGTGATGATGATGATGGTGGTGATGATAATAGTGATGATGATGGTGGTGGTGGTGGTGGTTGTGGTAGTGATGATGATCACATCAACAATAACAATTACCTACTAGGATTTTAAGGGTTAAATGCAAAACTTTGCAAATTGTAAACTACCATAAAAAAACCAGCTGGAAGCTGGACGCCGGTGGCTCACGCCTGTCATCCTAGCTACTCAGGAGGCTGAGATCTGAGGATCATGGTTCACAGCCAGCCCAGGCAGAGAAGTCCATGACATTCTTTTTTTTTTTTTTTTTTTGGTCCGGTTGTGGAGCCTGAACTCTGGGCCTGGAAACTGCCCCTCAGCCATTCAGCTCAAGGCTAGCGCTCTACCACTTGAGCCACAGCGCCACTTCCAGCTTTTTTCTTGTTGCTTATGTGGTGCTGAGGAATTGAACCCAGGGCCTCAGGCATGCAAGGCAAGCGCTCTACCACTGAGCCACCTTCCCAGCCCTCCATGAGATTCTTATCCCCAATTATCCATCAGAAAACCAGAAGTGGAGCTGTGGCTCAAGTGGTAGAGCTCTCGCCTTGAGCTGAAGAGCTCAGGGACAGCACCCAAGCTTAGAGTTCAAGCCTCATGACTAGGGAAAAAAAATTAAAAGAAGACCTCTATTCCCTCGTGTGTACACTGGGTGGACAAAACCCCCTCATCTAGTTGTATAACAATTAAATAAAAAAACCCGGCACAGTCCTGGCTTATTGGAAATGCTCGCATGAAGAACTTTCTAGCCACAGGAACTAGTGATCCCCAGAGGGTATTGGAATCCAAAAGGCCTTGGAAGGGGTCTGTACCACGTTCTGACCAAATGCAGAGCGATTCCATGGCTGAACTTGGCTGGCTGACCGTTAGCCTCTGATTCCAGATCAGCAAGCTCAGCCCTCCACTGTGAGCGTGTTCACCCTTACCTTGAAATCCCTGAGGCCCTGTTCACGGCAGCCTAGCCCTTCCTGGCTGTGGCAGCGCCCGGCCCTTAGCAATGCCTGAGTCCTGTCTGCCCCCAGGGAGAGCGGGCGGGTCTTGGAGGGCTGTGGTCTGCAGGCTGCAGAAGGCTTCTCTCCCTCTGGGAGGAGAGTGGAGGAAATGGTGAGGACGGAGCTGCCAGCCCTGCCAGGCCTCTGGAGCTCAGGGCCCACACAGCTTTCCTGGCCTGCTTGCCCAGGTCTCTCCTGGCAAGAGAGGAGCCAGCGCCTTGGTGTTCTGCTGGTGGTCTCTCTGCTCTGCATCCTGTATCAAAAGGCTCAGCCAGAACAAAATGGTGGTACGATCTCCGCTTACCCTGAGGAAGCCAGCCAGCCTGACCAACTCCACACGGTCCCTGTGTCTCCTCTGGTCCTGCCTGCCTGAGTTTCACCTGTAGCTAAGTCTTCTGTGCCCTTGGAGTCTCCAGACCGTTGATTTTAGGTGCCTCCTGCTCTTCTGGAACCTCGGCTGCCTAGGGGATCCCCATGCTAGCGTCTCCCAGCATGCCTTGCATTCTGCCAGGCTCTTTCCTCTTATGAAATTCCAGTCTTTCAGTTTTGCAGAGTTGCTTCTGTGATCTTCCGCCTGCCCAGGGTCCTCTCACGGCTTCTGAATGACTTCTGTCCTTTGTTAAGGCCTCTTCTGCCTTCTACCTCATAGCAATGTTATTAGCATAAACTAGAAAATAAATCCTTGGGGATGTGTTCTTGCTGGGTCCTATAAGGGTCCAGGTGCTGGGAAATGGATAGGTGGCAACGCTGCCACTTAAGCCACAGCAACACTTTGGGCATTTTCTGAGTAGTTTATTGGATGTAAAAGTCTTATGACTTTTCTGCCCAGGCTGGCTTCAAACAGTGACCCTCTGATCTCAGCCCCTGAGTAGCTAGGATTACAGGCGTGAGCCACCAGCACTCGGCTGATTTTCTTCTTTCTGTTGTTTTGATACAGGGGCTTGACCTCAGGACCTTTCATTCTTGTTTGGCTTTTTCAGTTAAGGCTGGTACTCTACCACTTGAGCCATACCTCCCAGTTTCAGCTTTTTGGTAGTTCATTGAAGATCAGAATATCTCAGATTTTCCTGCCCTGGCTGACTTTGAACTGAGATCCTCAGATCTTAGCCCCTGAGTAGCTAGGATTACAGGTGTACACCACCAGCACCTGGCTGTTTTTATTACTATGAAGTACCTTTTTTGTCTTTAAATATTTGTACAAAGTTAGTTCATGTCAAGGCATCAATTTATTGGTGCAGTGCATCTTAATTGGTGTTACCCTTTCCATCATTCTTCCCCTCCTTTTTCAAAAGTTCTTGGCTTTTTTAAAAATTGTGCTGTCATATACACAACCTAAAATTGATCATTTAAAAAACATATTCAAGGGCTGGGGTTTGTAGTTCAGTGGTAGAGCGCTTGCTCAGCATGTTTGGGGGCTTGGGTTTGTTTTTGTTTTTTTGGGTCCGGTCATGGGGCCTGAACTCTGGGCCTGGGCGCTGTCCCTCAGCTCTTCAGCTCAAGGCTAGCGCTCTACCACTTGAGCTACAGCACCACTTCCGGCTTTTTTTCTTTTTTGCTTATGTGGTGCTGGGGAATCGAACCCAGGGCCTCATGCATGCAAGGCAAGCGCTCTACCCCTGAGCCACCTTCCCAGCCCCCAGGGCTTGGGTTTGATACCCATCGCTCAGTTTTATCACATTGCTGTGCAACCATCACCACTGACCGTCTGTAGAACTTTTCATACTTCCAAACCAAAACTCCAATCCTACGCAGTTAACTCTCAGTGGTCCCTCCACCCTTCCCCTACCAGCTACTTTCCCATTGTCTCTACAAACTTGACCTTCCTTGACCTCATACTTTCTTGGCTCACTTTCTTGGCCTGGCACTCAACCACTTGAACCACACCTGCAGCTCTGCTTTTTGCTGGTTATTTTGAAGATGGAGATTTTTGACCTGGCCAGCCTCCAAACACATTCCATCCAGATCCTAGCCTCATGAGTAACTAAGATTATAGCTTCAAACTTGACCACTCTTGGCACATTATATAAGTAGAATTATATTTGTCCTTTCATGTCTTTTTTTAAAGCTTTAATTTTTTTTGTTATTATAAAGGTGGTGTAAGCTGGGCGCTGGTGGCTCATGCCTGTAATCCTAGCTACTCAGGAGGCTGAGATCTGAGGATCGCGGTTCAAAGCCAACCCGGGCAGGAGAGACCGTGAGACTCCTATCTCCAATAAACCACCAGAAAACTGGAAATGGCGCTGTGGCTCAAGTGGTAGAGCACTCGCCTTGAGCTGAAGAGCTGAGGGACAGCGCCCAGGCCCAGAGTTCAAGCCCCACGACCAACCAAAAATAAAAAAATAAAGGTGGTGTATGGAGGGGTTACAATTAAAGTCAGGCAGAGAGTACATCTTTTGGACAATGTGACCCCTTCCCTTGCTTTCTCCCAGTTTTTTTCCTCCCAACCCTACCCACAAATTACATAGTTCATTTTCAATGTAATGTCTAGTGAATACCACTGTCTTTCTTATTTAGCATTCATCTATACCAAAATGTACTCAAATTTTATTCCTTTAAGGCAGAATCATCATTTTATCACTTTAAAACATGAGGTTTGATCATTCATGTACAGTCCTTGTGTGTGTGTGTGTCTCTGTGTGTGTGTGTGTGTGCGCGTGCATGCGCATATGCATGTGCAAGCCAGTAATGGGGCTTAAAATCAGGGCCTACGCGCTGTCCCTTAGCTTTTTCACTCAAAGTTGGAACTCGACCGTTGGAACCACAACTCTACTTCTGGCTTTTCTGATTGTTAATTGAAGATAGTCTCACAGAGCCAGGCACCAATGGTTCATGTAGAATCCTAGCTACTCAGGAGGCTGAGATCTGAGGATAGCGGTTTGAAGCTAATTCCGGACAGGAAAGACATGAGACTCTTATTATCTCCAATAAATCCCAAAAAAGACAGAAGTGGAGCTGGAGCTCAAGTGCTAGAGCACTAGCCTTAAGCAGAAGAAGTTCAGGGACAGAGCCCAGGTCCCTATTCAAGCCCCAGGACTGGTTAAAAAAAAAAAATTCTCTCAGATTTGTTTGCCTGAGCTGGCTTCAAACTATGATCCTCAGATCTCAGCCTCCTGAGTAGCTAGAATTATAGATGTGAGACACCATATCTGACCAGTCATTTAAAAAGATTAAAAAGGGCTAGGAATGTGGCTCAGTGATAGAGTGCTTGCCTAGCATGCATGAAACCCTGGGTTCAATTCCTCAGTATTACACAAACAAAGAAAGCCAGAAGTGGCACCGTGGCTCAAGAGGTAGAGCGCTAACCTTGAGCACAGAGAGGCTCAGGAACAGAGCCCAGGCCCTGAGTTCAAGTCCCAGGACTGGCAAAAAAAAAAAAAGATTAAAAATTAAGTGTGTCTCATCGTAAGTAGAGGTAGAGCTGGAGCTGAATGTGGTCAGTTCTAGCTCATGGCTCCCGTCTCTTCTACCCCATGGATGAATGCAGCACTGGGTATTGGGGGACTACCTGGGTGGGGGAGTGGGGGAAGGGCTGCACTTTCTGGGTGCAAGCTGGTGCAGTTGTTTGGCATGAAGCACGGATACAGGGTTTCAGGCAGCGGGGGGCAGGGGAGGTGCACAAGATGCCCGCCTAGCTGTGCACTTCCTCCAGGAAGCCCTGCCTGCCATTTTGCATATTTCTCTAGAGGGACAATCTTGAGTCCTGAGCGTGTAACCACACCTTGTGTTGTCTTTGTCACTACAGAGGACGGAAGGCTCTCTTGATGGAATTTAGGACGTCGAAGGCGGATGCACATCCCTGTCCACGTCCCCAGAAGAACAGATGCTTCCTGTATTTCAAGAGCTCCGTGCACTTATTTATGGGCCTGTCCTGCTCCCACCAAACATAGCAATTCCTCAGGCCAAGCCACCAGTTCTTGACTCCATCCTGCGACGTTCAGGTCAGGCATAAAGAGACACAGAGGGGCTGTTGAATTGCCCACGTGGCCTTCCTTCCAAGTTGGAAGCGCTTTGCAGTGTGGAGTGGCAGAAGCAGCTTCTGGGTATTCGGGCCACTGAGATACTTTGAAACTTGAATATTTTGTCTTGGACAGAGATCAAGAAGTTTTTCATGTGTTCTTTCTATAGAAACTGGTTTTTGTTTTATTGTTGATCACTCCGGTGAATGGCCTGGTCGTGGGGCTAGTTTCTTTGTATGTTTCTTTCTCCTCTTTTGGCCTTTTGAAGGCCTGGAGTTCTGGACAGCCTCTTGTTCTTTGAAAATGCGCGTCGCTGGCCAGCTTTGCCCTGGGCTGTTCTGACCTCACCCACTACAGATAGGAAAACAGCGCTTGGAAACAGTCGCTCCTACAAGACTCCTTGTTTTTCTTCTCTCTCTCTCGCTCTCTTTTTTTTTGGCTGGTAGTGGGGCTTAAACTCAGGGGTCCTCACATTCTTGCTTAGCTTCTTTGCTCGAGGTTGGCACTCTACCACTTGAGCCACAGCTCCCCTTCTGGCTCGTTGCTGGTTAATTGGAGAAAAGAAACACTTGGATTTTTCTGCCTAGGCTGGTTTCAGATCTGGATCCTCAGCTCTCAGCCTCCTGAGTAACTAGGATTACAGGTGAGCTCCACCAGCACCTGTTTTCTATTCCTTTCTTTCCTCCTCCCATGATGAAGGCCAAAAGATGAGAAATGGCTCTCTACAGCAAATCGTATTTTTGAATAGAAAAAAAAAAAAGAAATGCGTATTTTTCTTACTAATTTTTCTTAATTTATTCCTTGCTGAAGAGATGGTCTCCTGAGGTCTTAGGAGGTTTCCGAGGGGGTTCCGAATATGGACGGGAAGTGGGCTGTGGCAGATTTGCTGGTGCGTCAGCAATGCTGCTGGTGGTGTTGTATTAAATAAATTTCATCTTTACTCTTCCTAGATCTGTGTCGTGTCATCTTCTGAGCAACAGGTGACACAGGATTAGAATACATGGAGCCCTCAAAGGCTCCACAGGAACCCAGACAGAAGAACCAAGCCTCTCTGAGCAGCATACAGAGCCTTGCTCAGACCAAGGGCCCACAGGGCATCTGGTGAAGTCAGGACCAGAGGCTGATATGAGATTCACACACCAAGCCATTGACATCCATTGGCTGGTACTTTTGGCTTCCCAGTGAGTGGCTTGTCAGATTTAATACAAGAGCGAGTTAATTAGTCTCATCTAAGAAATCTAAAATGTCCAGTTCAATTTAGCTTTCAGATAAATAATGTAAATTCTTAGTGTTACTTAGTGTGTCATGTTTAAGATATACTAAATATTTTCAAATGTAGCAGACCATTTTAGATTTTAGTTGCCAACCCTACTGGCAGGGTAACCTTCCTCTTGCCCCCTCCCCCCAAAAATGGACCCTTTCTAGTGATTTGGACCTTGCTCCCTGAAGGCTGTCCTTTACCTTACCAGTACCCCACAGGGCAGAGAGAGAGAGAGATCAGAGGGAGGAAGGATAGAAGGAAGGAAGAAAGGAAGGAAGGAAGAAAGGAAGGAAGGAAGAAAGGAAGGAAGGAAGGAAGGAAGGAAGGAAGGAAGGAAGGAAGGGAAAGAAAGAGGAAAGGGAAAGGGGAAAGGGAAAGAGGAAGAGGGAAGGAGGGAGGGAGAGAGGGAGGGGATGAAAGCCAGGAGGATTCATTCCTCTCCTCTCTGAGCCCAGCACACACATACAGTTGTATTACAACAATCTCATACATTTCCAAGGCATCGTGGCCACAGCCCAGACTGAAAGTAAAAGGCTAGCTGGCTGCTAGATGACCTTGCAACCTTCCAGTCTGCCATGTCAGTGATCTGAGCAGTGCATCCACTCCCCAGACCCCATCTGCCACCGAGAGAGGCGTTGCCATGGAAACGGCAAAGACCCTGTAGCACTGGAGCATACACAATCAGGGCTACCTCCGCCTGTATTTTGAGCAGGAAACCCACACACAGGGATCTTCTTTAGTTCCTTTAATGGCAAAGTAAGTCTTTGCCAGTTGTGAGGGCTGCACTCTGAGCCTGGGCGCTGTCCCTCAGCTCTTTAGCTTAAGGCAAGCGCCCTACTACTTGAGACACAGCGCCACTTCCGGCTTTTTCTGCGTATGTGGTGCTGAGGAATTGAACCTAGGGCCTCATGCATGCAAGGCAAGCACTCTACCACTGAGCCACCTTCCCAGCCCCCAAATAAGAAACTCCAAGGCCTAAGGCTTTGCTCAGCAGCTAGGAGAACCCAGTGTCAGCCAGGTACCAATGACTCATGCGTGTAATCCTAGCTACTCAGGGGACTGAGATCTGAGGATTGCTGTTCGAAGCCAACCTGGGCAGAAAAGACCCCATGAGACTCTTGTTTCTAATTAACCACTCAAAAACCAGAAACGGCACTGTGGCTCAAATGGTAGAGCGCTAGCCTTGAACATAAAGAGCCTCAGAGACAGCGCCCAGGTCCTAAGTTCAAGCCCCACAACCACCACCACCACCAATGACAACAAAAGCCAAAGTCACCCCAAGGGAGGCAGGTTTCCGCTGGAGAAATTCGCTAATGGAAGTTTCCTCTGTGTCCTTGTGGTGTAATTAATACCTGAAGGCCTTACACAGTCGAGTAGCAGAATTTTTATCCTCGTTAGAGGAGCTGCAAGAGGCCGGCCACCCATTTCATGAGCACATACTAATTACCTATCACCCCCATCGATGCACTCAACTCTCCCTGACCTAGCCCTGAACAGCAGTGTGACTCCAAGGGCAACGTTCATTGGTTAAAGCAGTGGTTTTCAGCCAAGGCAATTTGGTCTTTTGTTGATCACCGGATAGTGTCTGAAGACACAACTGGGTGAATGTGCTACTGACACATACAAGGTAGAAGCCAAAGGTGTTACCAAATGTCCTACGTGCATAGACACAACAAAGAACCAGCCAACTGGAAGTAGGGATGGCGGCCAGGCCGAGAAAGCCTGCATTGCTTTGCATGCTCTGCAGGCTTGGGCCCACACCACTCCACATTGTCACGCGCGTCAGCTGTTGGGTAGGAAGACCAGAGGACTCATGTGGCTCCTTCTCTTCTTGTCTCAGAGATACAGATAAGTAAAGAATTGGTTTGATGCCAGATAAGCAGAAAAAGCTGGACGTGGTGCTGTGGCTCAAGTGGTAGAGCGCTCACCGTGAGCTAAAGAGCTGAGGGACAGCGCCCAGGCCCAGAGTTCTGGCCCCACGGCTGGCAAAACAAAACAAAAAAGAATTACAGCACCATGACAAGAGTTGTGGTAGAAAACACAGAGAAAACACACCTGAGAGGACTCCTAACACATGCTTTGACAGGCCAAGTCCAAGAGGCTGTAAGGTCTAACCAAAGGCTTGGAGATAGTAAGGCACTGGTGGCTTATGCCTGTAAACCTAGCTACTCAGGAGGCTGAGCAGAAAAGTCAGTGATACTCTTTTTTTTTTTTGTCAGTCCTGGGGCTTGAACTCAGGGCCTGGGCACTGTCACTGGGCTTCTTTTGCTCAAGGCTAGCACTCTACCACTGAGGCACATACCCAGCCCATTGGTGAGACTCTTATCTCCAATTAACCACCCAAAAGAAGTGGAGGTGTAGCTCAAGTGGTACAGCACCAGTCTGAGCAAAAAAGCCAAGTGAGAGCATGAGGCATTGAATTCAAACCACAATGCCAGCACCAAAAACAAAACAAAACAACAACAACAAAAAAAACGGGCTGGGAAGGTAGCTCAGTGGTAGAGTACTTGCCTTGCATGCATGAGGCCCTGGGTTCGATTCCTCAGCACCACAAAAGCAGAAAAACCCAGAATGGAGCTGTGGCTCAAGTGGTAGAGCGCTAGCCTTGAGCTGAAGAACTGAGGGACAGCGCCCAGGCCCAGAGTTCAGGTACTACAACACACACATACACACACACACACACACACACACAAACTAAACTAAAACAAAAAATAAAAACAGAATCAAAGATGAATACAGGTAGAAGTCAGTGGGTAGGAAAGGTAAACTGAGAAGCGTAGGAGCTGAAAGGAGGCAGCCTGGGGGCAGGCATGGTAGCACACACTTAGAATCCCAGTACTGGTGTGCACACACTCACACACACAGCTTGAAATAACTAACAGCTCCCATATTCACCATATGATTTCATGTCAGTTAAAAATTTCAAAATAGCAGTTCATGATTTTTTAAAATCAAACTATCAGGGCTGGGGGGAAGGGTTTACATAGGTCCACACTTGTCTAGTATACTCTCTAAAGTAATCATCTCTTAGACTATTCCAGAATAGTCTAAGGTGGGAAGTTTATTGGAAAATTTCATAGTCCAAGGTTGTTGTTGTTTTCAGAAATGTCTTTCTATTGGCTGGGAAGGTGGCTTAGTGATAGAGTGCTTGCCTAACACGCATGAAACCTTGGATTCAATTCCTCAGTACCATAGAATCAGAAAAAGCCGGAAGTGGTGATGTGGCTTAAGTGGTAGAGTGCTAGCCTTGAGCACAGAGAAGCTCCAGGACAGTACCCAGGCTCTGAGTTCAAGCCCCAGGACCCACAAAAAAAAAAAAAAAGAAAAAGAAAGGAAGGAAGGAAGGTCTGTCTTTCTACATAGCCCAGGCTTGCTGGAACTCTAGATATTGCTCAATTTGGCCTGAGATTCACCATCTTTCTTTCTCAGATTCCCAAGTGTTGGTAGTACAGGTGCACACTTACCATGCTTAGCAATTCAGGTTATTTCTACAGCTGGAATTATTCCTTCATATAGATTCTATAACTCATTTGGTCATAAAGTTCCCAAATGAACTTTAACTTTAACAATAGAAGGGACACATTATCTTCATATTTGGACACTAGTCATATAAGGACACTAATCATTGAATTTAGGGCCTGTTCTAATCCAGTATGACCTCATCGTTACTAAATACATCTGCAAAGACCCTATTTCAAAATAGGGTCTCATTCTGAGCCTCCAAGGAGACATGTTAAGTTTAAGGGGGACCCTATCTAGCACAGTACACAAAAGAATGCGCAAGATAAGCTCACATTACAGTGCTGACTTTGTGTTTAAGATACTCGTGTAAATAGTGTGACAGCAACTGGTCTACCTCAGAACAGCAGCATCTCCCCAGCTTCAGCTCTTCAGCATTCTCAGCCTGGCATTCTCTCACTGTGCTTTGCTCTCTTGTGCTTTATGTCTCTGCGTCTCTGAAACATCATTGTGGCCATCCTCAAAGCTCCCTCCCTGCTTTCCCTCTCATTCTTCCTCTGCTTCTTTCTCTCTCTCTTTTTTCTCCTCTACTTCATCTTTCCACTTCCACTGCCATTTACTGGGCAGAATAGAACTGAAGTTTACACATTGCTGATACTCCTTTCTGAGTTGTGTATTCCCAATTATTTGTTCTGAAAGCCAACACATGGAGTGTTTTCTACTTTCCTCTATCTTTAAGAAAGATGAAAGATGCTACA